TGGAAACTACTGCCCATCCTTTAAAATTTGTGATGGCACATGGGGAAAATCATATGGAAATTTAAAGTGGTCTCTGCTAGGTTTCTAATGAGCATGTAGAAAACCTGTTTTCAGAAGTTTATCATCTAATCCAATTTGGGTGTGTTGGCACAAGAACAGTGGAATATACAGAAACCAAGCTGGTTGCAATCTTCATAAACTGGGCTGCAGAAACTGGAGACTGTGGAACCTTAGAGTAATGTAACTATGTGAACTGCCCTTAATACAAGTGAATCTGAGTATTTTTTCCTGAATAGTATCCTTTAAAAGAGAAAGAACAAAATAAAATAAAATAATCAGATGTAGGAATACATATGGATTGGAGAATTTTATTGGAACAATTATGAAAACTGAATCTAGGAAGCAATAGTGGAGGTGTAGCAATTATCAGTTTGTGCTGTCACATGTGGCTACAATGACTAATTTCCATAGATTCCTCAAAGGTTTGGAAAAAATTGTTGCCATATCAGAACTAGTTCTTATCTGCTATGAGAAACCCTCTTTTCAAACTGGACTTCTTTCAGTATAAATGTAGAAGGAACTGGTTTCTGTAATCTTTTAGATTACTTCACCATTAGGACAATTTATAAATAACTGGATTTATTCTTTTATAAAACTGTGGTGGCAGAGTTCAGAATTAAACACTTAACCTACAAAGTCCTTACAATTAGCATTTTTTCAAATTACAGGTGCTAAAACTGAAAGAGGTTTTAATCTCCAAAACCCTGGTAACTTGATTCTTCAAAACTTGCATATATACCCACTAATTCTAAAGTTTGCAAATACTCAGGCAGAATGTAATTTTGAAGACAATGTTTGTTTTTTTTTTCAAATTGAGGAAAGTTGCTCTCTTAACTACATTACAGCTAAAGAAGTAATTCATGAATATTTGATTTATTTAAAGCTCAACACTGTTTCATTGCTTCATTTTCATGCCCCTGTCAGATGAAGCAATGAAGTGCTCAACTTTTGTTTTTACAGTATAAAGCAGTAAAGAACTTGACACAGTTCAAGGACTAATCCCAGCTCAGAGAAGCTTCTGTACCTTCTTAAACCGGACTATCAGATTTCCCTTTTACAGTTTCATTATACTGAAATTCTCATCTTCAAAGTGAAATGTGGAAATGGTAGGCAGCTCTGGGGTTTAAGAGCTCTGAAGGATAGGAAAACCTGCACGAACCATCCAGATACCTGGGGAATTGTGAAGCCTGCATCTCCTCTGGGCAGTGAGAACCAAAAGCAGCTAAGTCTGACAAATTCTTAAATGTAGGTTTTTTTAAAGAAAAAAAGCCCACATAAGTAAACCAGCTTAGTGCTTAACCAGATCAGTGCTTCAATACCTGCTTAATCATTTAGAGTGCATAACATTTGTGAATGCTGTAGTGCTGAATTGGCTAAGCTCTAAAGACAGTTTACATAACCAAGCACTAAACTTCAAATAGCTAAGCAAGGTCATTGCTGCCCCCAGCACCAAGAAGAGCTCCCAAGTACTGTAAGATTTCTGGCCTAGTTAGCATGTTTTCAAAGTTCTTACCAGGACTCTCTTGGTAATTATAAAAGCCCATTTCTCTATTGAAATGCAGAGGAACTTTACAGGAGAAAAGCAGCAGATGTTCTTTTCTCCTGAAAAAGCTTTAAGGTTTGTAAGAAAAAAAAATAAAAAACTAGTGGAAAAAAAGTGTTAACACTAAGATCTAAATACATATAAACTCCCACTGTATGGAATAAACATTCCTTGGTTTAACATACAGCATGTCAGTAATTAGCCTAAAATAGTTGGGTCTGTCCTCAAGTATCTAATGTGGAGCATAGAACACTGCACTCTATCTCATACCATAACATCTGTTAATAATACAAAATCCAACCATCCTACAAGGTACTTATTTGCTGGGTCTCATGAAATCTCTGTGGCAGTTTCTGATACATTTTGCAGCAGGTAATTTAAGATGCAGAAATCATATCCTCAGAAAAAAAAGAACCACCTTAGAGCAAGCTAACCTTATCCTCAAAGGTCACAGAAAAAGGGGGAAAAAATACTTAGTTTGCCATAACTAGCAGTTCAGATTGCATCATTCACAGGAGTCCCATTCAGGTTTTTTTCTCTGATCCATGAGCATGTTTTTTATGGTCCCAATATCTGTGCCTTTACACTTTTCTACTTGAAAACACAAAGGTTAGAATAAACTCAACCATCCTTTATTAACTTTCCTAATCTCTCTCATTTAAGTGCTTATCAACATGGATTACAGATATCAGAAAGCTAGAGGGGATCACAGTTTTACTTCCTCTATACACCCACCACTGAACTTCCCTGAATTTCCCTTATTAAGATAATTAATTTATAATGGTTAAATTTCATCTTCCAAAATATTTCTAGTCTTGTGCTGAAACATGAAGACATTAAACATCTATTTGGTAATTGGTTCAGGAGAAGAAGGGAAGGAGGGACAAGAATCTGATTAAAGATAAATTGATCATTACATAGGAGCTTTGCAAATCTCCCAAAGCTCCATTTGGACAACCCACAGGAATGCTGCATCTGTTACAGACGCCAAGAATTCTATCACTTATTTGTTAAATCCACAGAAACTTTTCTACAACTTGATTTTAGTTTGTTAATCACATTTTGAGTGAAACTCCTGACAACAGAAATTAAAAAAGGGCATTATATGGGGGCAGGATGGAAAGGATCCAGAGAAAGGTCACAGAAATGATCCAAGGCCTGGGAAGCTGCCATGTGATGAAAGGCTGAGAGAACTGGGTTTGTTCATCCTTGAGAACAGAAGGCTGAGAGGAGACCTCATCACCATGTTCCTGCATTTAAAAAGTGGCTACAAAAAGAGGAAACTCCCTTTTTACAAGGAGTCACATGGAAAAGGCAAAGGGTGATAGGAATAAGTTACTCCTGAGACACAAAGGGAAAATGTTTCACAGTGAGAACTATCAGGCATTGGAATAGTCTCTCCAGGGAAATGATGGATTACCCAACACTGGACACTTTTAAGATGCAGCTGGACAGGGTGCTGGGCCATCTTATCTGGACTGTGCTTTTGCCAAAAAGAAGTTGGATCAAATGATCCAAATGGTCCCTTCCAACCTCATACTGATTAGCTAGGGAGAAAATCTTGCTCCTACATCATTTAAATACCTCAGGATGTTTTTCCCAAAGTGTGTTTCTTATTGCTTGAATATTTATATACCATCTGGACTTAAAACAGACATGTCCTCAAAAGTAGTGTGATACCAGGTTTCCACAAAGTCACTATCACTTCTGGAGTTTGCCTCACATATTTCACTGGTACCAAACTTGGATAAATTTGCTGTGGTATTGTGACAAATTTCCTTCTTCTCTAGGGTCACATATCCTCAGGGTAAGACATTAACTCTGGGAATATAAAGCAGTTGAAACTGATTTTTACCACCTGGGCAAGAGAAACCCACAGGCTGGAGAGTGAGGCAATGGACACCAAAGACAGTATGACTAGAATTTTGGAGATAATCTCCTGAATTCAGTGACAGGATGGCATTTTCAGAGAAAGGAAAATTCTGAAACTCTCAAGTTGAAAAGAAAGATTGAGAAAAGTTTGACCACTGCAGTCAGTTTAGGGCTGAGAGACACAGTGGCTATTATTTACTTCTTTCCTTTGAAAGATCCAGGAATAAGACTAAGGATAATTGTATGAGGAAAAAAATAGCAGGATAGCAGCACAGGGAATAACATCAAGAGGAGTATGGAGCTTTGCTTCATCTATCAGAAAAAGAGACAGTCAGCAGGAATCCAGCTGGCATCTGGGGATATGTCTGAGCCAGTGTGGCTCAGGTGAGCAGGTTATGACTGACCAGTGTTTGCCACAAAAAACACAGAAGTTAATGGTGAGATTAATGGGAATGTTTACAGCTCTCATAGCTACTGCTATAGCTCTCCAATCTACCATCTCAAATAACTTTCATTGAATTATTCATGATGTATTTATCACTTACTATTCACAAGTATTAGAGCTAGAAAACTGGTTGTTTTGCTTTTTTCCTTTCACAGCTAAGCATCAATCTGAAAATCAAGTAGTTATTTCATATACTCTGGTTTGGAGAAAACCTGGAGGCACCCAGTAGGAGATAAAAGCCTAAAAAAGCGCAAATCCACAAAATTTTAGCAGCAGTTCTGAGGTTTGGGCAAAGCTTGTGGAAGGGAGCTCAGGTAACAGTTTCTTCTCAAAAAGAAACCCCAAGAAAAACTCAGTAGACCGATATTATTTCATATATTTGAATTAAAATGAAAGATCTTTAATTATACAATTTGGAATATGAGAACTATTCATCACAGTGTAAAACTTTTTATTTTTTTTAAGAATACTTCATAGATAAATGACAAGGGCTTTTTAATTATCTGTCAGGTGAGGAGCAAAACATAAGGATAGAGATTACTTAATTACATAAGTATTTCAAAAGTTATTATTTCACCAATCTACCAGGAAAGCCCCAAATTAGATCTGCAATACTGGTCTCATGCTGAACAGAATAATGGGCCTGTCCAGCCCTTCTGAGGCTGGAGAAAAGGCTGATTTTAGCCATATTCAGACATATGGCACACAGGATATATCCCTTCCAGTCTTAACAGCCAAGTTTCACTCTATATCTTGATAGAGAACATGTGAATATTTATACCAGGGTATAAAATTGAGAGGGCTGCCTCAGATTGCTGAGTCTGTTCCTAGAGTTTCCATTCGACATTTTTTCCACAGGCATGTATTACTGCATGTTTAAAAACTACTCATATTTATAACAGAGAGGAAAAATGAACAGAGACTTTTAAAATATTGATAAAAGGAACATAATGCCCCAAAAAATGTTGCAAAAATATTTTAAAGGACAGCTTTTATGTAATTACGCACAACACAGAAAGCACCTTGGATTTGAAAATTATCAAAAATTAAAAAAAAAAAATCCAACAAACTGTGACCAACCTTTATGTCTGTGAGATCCATCCATGTCAGAAAACTCAATGTGATTTTCATCAGCCCAATACAGCCTGTGGTTGACATAATCTATTGTAAGAGCCATAGGTCTGGATATCTGTGCCTCTATGATAACTGTTTGTCTGGATCCATCCATCCCAACACGGCCAATGTGAGGGTACTCACAGCAATCAATCCAGTATAAGTATCTGCAAAACAAAGCACAACAGCTGAATAATAACAATAAATATTTGACCAGAGAGGCTGTGGATGCCCCACCCCTGAAAGTGTTCAGTGGGGTTGGATGAGGGCCTGAGCAACTTGATCTAGTGAATGGCACCCCTGCCCATGGCAGAGGGCTTGGAACCAGAGGATCTCTAAGGTCCCTTCCAACCCAAACCGTTCTGTGATTCCATGATTAATTTATATATTATTATAATTAATATATTTATTCAATCTCAGGAATACATCGGTAATTATTCTATAATATTTTGACTTTCCAGATTATTTTTTTTTATTTTTCTAGATCTGCCTGTAAATAAGTGTGCTAAATGTAAAGGGTTTGAATAGGAGAGTCTTCATGATAGGTGTGATTTTATTACACTAATTATGGACTAATAAAGAGTGCATTTAAATTGCTCAGTCTTGATAGCTTAGAATTTTAAATACTACCCAAATTGGACTTTGTGAATCTCAAATCTTGCATAAATGGCATCACTACTAAATTTATCAGAAATATGGTGTTACATTTACTTTTCTTTGTCATATAATGAAATTATATTGCTTTAAAAAGTACTAGTGCCAGAACATTAGAACAGTTTCTCACACAGAGGGCTTAAAAATGGGTGAAACATGGAGAGAGGCTGTTGGAACACTGAGGAGCAATTTTTTCCTCAATATGCCATTTAACCACAATGCAGAGCACAATTGCCATAAAGAAAGAAAAAAGTCCTATTATTTAGTACATGGTTGCATGTTGCTACTGTTGTGTGCCATTACTCAGAACCTCAGGACAGATTCTTTCCAGCTGGGAAGCTGATACGATTCTATTCTACAGGTTTTGGACAGGCTTTCCAAAACCCAGATGCAGCTCATACTCTTAATAACCACCTGGAATTGTATTTGTGTGCAGGAGGAAATAGTGGTCCTAAGAGCAGCTACAGGTGCAATATGTTGGCACCATACTCCACATAAACAGCAGAGAAAGGGATCTTTCTCCACTGACTCCAACAGGACACATTTTGTTTGGAAATATATCATTACTCTTGCACAGCATCAGCAATTTAATTGATTAAGCATTTCTCCTTTGTTAAAAAAAAATAAGATAAAATTAATATTGTTTCAAATAATAACTCTGAATTTGAAATAAAAACAGATATATTTTTCAGCAGCTTGCCATATTAAAATAAACAAATACATAAATATATTTATTTTAAGAAAGATTATTAAAATAGCTTGGCCTCAGAAATCTAAGTCTGTACACACTGAGAAGGAGCCAAGTAAGTTTATTATGCCTATATATATATATCTATCTATATACACATATATAGATATATATAAACTTTCCTGAAAACCTGGGACTCTCCGTACAAACTTTGTAGGTTGATTTCTGCATACACAGGGAACATATCCTGGATGCCCAGGCAACCAAAGGGAGAACCCATGTATTGGTATCTTGAGTATATTTAACAAAGATCTGTAGGCTCCCTGCCAAATTTGACAGGGAAAAAAGGGTACAGTTACAATAAAATTAAATTCTAGTTCTAAGAACCAGTAGAAAATGCCTTTTTCCTTAAAAATAGTAAAGTAGATAATTTATACCAATTATTATTATACCAATTTTATAAGTAGTGATAATATAGTATGCATTGGTAATACACGTTCAGACTACTGATATCCAATATAGTTGAAAGTTAGGTAATGAATATTAATTAGTATTTTCTGTCTACTCTTTACAAAAAAAATATTTTAACATCAAGTTAGAATTAAATTCAAATTACTGCAAATTGGCTTCTTCATACCCAGCTTGAGGATCTAAGGAGAGATCTCTGGGAAACTTCACCCTCTTGCTCACAAGGACAGTTGGGTATAAACCATTGAGTTTAGACACCTCAATAATTCTCTTTTCAGTGTCAGACCAATACAGATTCTTCCCAATCCAATCGACAGCCAGTGCATTTGGAACAGCTGTATTGTGGATTACCTAGAAAAGCAAAAAATTACATAAATTATTCATCTAAATACTGGGGAAAGGAACAACTTAAGAGTTACTGATACCAGAATATGGAGAAGCTGGATATTCAATACAGCTACATAAAACCTGTGAAAAATGGGTAGTACTCACTGTTAAATATTAACGCTTCCCAAGTAATGACACTTCGTAAGGAACTAAGATAATGTGACATTTTCCTTATAGTAAGGAAGAATGGAAAATACCTCGATGAAGTAAATAGCAAATTCCCAGCTTCTCTGCATTATGCACTAACTTCTACAAATTTTGGACCTTTCGTTTTTCATCTTAGGCTTCTACTTTTCTCTTCATGTAAAAACAAACAAACGAGCAAACAAACAACTTTTTCCCCTGTTACTAGTTTACTTTTTCTTTCCAGAGAGCAGAACAGAGATGAGGCTTCTCTCCCCACAGTGTCCCCTCAAACACATCTGCTTCTCAGCTCCCCACTTCTCTCACTGGTCTACATCAGCATGTCTTTCATTTTAATATCACAGTGGTACCACATGTCATTGTGACAGATAGACCATAAGAGCACTCAGCTGAGTTCCAGGAAGAGGTTACTAGTTGGAAAGTAAACAGTGTGCTCTTATTTCCAACATTCATGTAGCAGAAGAAAGAGGAGCTTTCCAAGAATTAGTTAAATTTCAAAAGGAACACATGATTCAGGAGTAAGAGACAGGAGCGATTCAGTCACCTGCTGGAAAGCTCACGCTCTGCCAGCAGGGATATGTTATTCTCAAGGTTTTGGAAGACTTGAATAATTCTGAGACTTGAACAAATTCCTCTGAATATATGTGATCATGAATCTCATCATGATTGTATGACTCTGTCTTGCTTGGCTGGGAGTATTTCATGTCAAGTGTTGAGTAATATTTGAAAATTCACGAACATTTGAGGTCAGCTTATTCTAGGCTTGAAAATTATATTCCTGAGAAGGTCTGTTCTGACTTATTCTGTTCCTGGTTAGGGCTTGATTAGAACTTCAGAAAACCACAAAACAGAAAGCAGTTCTTGAAAATATTTGAGATTTCTTAAGTACTAATAATGGGTTTACTACTGTGCTGTACATTATTTATTGTCATCTTCAGCACTAAAAGCATGTGCTTTTAGTCTATCAGCCATAAACCTGATTATGTACAATTGAATGTGTTAGCTTTAATTTTATTTACCATTTGAAGATACTGAAAAGTCTTCAAGATAAGAATGGATATGGTGAGATAATTTAAATCCATTTTATAGTTATGAATATTCAAACCTACCTTTTCAGGTTGTTACATTATTTATCATGTTATCAAATCTGTTTTAAAAATTAAATTCAGGCATGCACAGATTTTTTTTTTTTAATATGAATAAAATATTTTGTTTTCTAATACCTTCCCAGTACCAGCTTCACTGGTTTATAAATGTGTAATTGCAGCAACTGCTGCACTGTAACATGGGACATTTCCTGTAGAAATGGATAACTGCAAATTTAGGGGTTTATCTACAACACCTAAACACTGCACAACAGCGTCAACCAAAGTAATTAGTCTGTCTTCTGATGACTTTTCCTTTGGAGAGTCACTTCAAGCTTATTCCAGTCGCTGAGATCACCAGTGTGACATTTAACGTGCACAATCCAGCTTCCTGCAGCATTTTCCAATAACATTTGCATCTACAACACTATACATAAGATACTGTTTTAATGTCTGAGCACATCTATGTGAAAACATTGTCATTTCAATTCTATAAATATCTCCTCCATGATCAGATGAAGAAGAAAAATGAGGTGCCATCAGGTTGCCCAGGGCAAGAAAGCCAGAGTTGGTGTGCTGAAAAGATGCCATCTCCTAAAAGGGAAATCCTAGATAATATATCAAACAGGATCATTTACACTGATAGCAGATCTATTTATAGTAAAGAGTAACACAAGAAGTATGAAGGTAGTAAAATAAGAAATTCATACTTCAAGGCAAAAAGTCTATCAACCATAAAAACTCTCATGACAAAAAAAAAATAAAATATATAAACAGGTTTTCTGGATAACAAAACCCATAAATCTTTAAATAATTAAGCAAATAATTATAATAATTTTATTTGAAATAATTTAATTTTAATAACATCAATTACTAAATATATCCTTTGGTGACCTATTAGAAAGTCAGAGAGATATAAAATTATCATTTTGGATAAAAGATGACTGATAGAATATTAGACAGCTACAACATATAATTCTTCATAATTTCTTGCATGTATTTTTAGCTTTCAGAGGCCAAATCTGGGACAGGTTTTACAGAGAAAAAAACAATTTTTTTTTTTAAATTAAATGTATTTATTTTCATAATTTTTGCTTTTACATTAGTATATTTGAGCTAAATCTCCATCAATATGACACTTGTCCTGTAAACTGCAAAATTATAATGAAGGAAAAAAGAAATATCCTATATGTTCCCATCCTAATTGTTTCTTATACTGTTCAAATTTCTGAAATCTTTCCTTATAAAAATAAAACAGTTATTGAATCATAGCAATAGGAGGTTTGGTCGGTTGTTTTTTCTCCCTCTTGGTTATTACAACTTCTTGACTGGGAAACATTCTTTCTGGAATAGTTAAGATTAGAAATAAAAAAATCTGAGGTCATCCCCAGTCCTAAAACAGCATAACACAGTTTCATCCAGAATGGAGAGATGCTTTGTAAATTGTTTAAAGGCATTAAATATGATTCAAGAATTTAATGGATTTTGAACCCTACACTTGCCTGACCCTATTTTTTTCAGCAAACCTCTTTGCAGGGACTCACTAGAACTTCTGATTGCTGGATTTTAGTTTTACCCCCAGGGCATCAGAGTGCCATAAATTATGTTCTTAAGGTTCACTGGTACCTGTGAGCTTCGAACCTAACCTTCAAAAAATGTGCTCTGAGGATGTTTCAGTCCATGCACTAAGTTGCAAATGAAAAACAGAAGAAATCTTTTTCTCTCTGCATATTTATTGGTGCACAATGAGGGAGCAAAATTTACAAGGTATGTTACTGCTCATCTACTCCATGTTTCAGAAGGTCAGACATAATAGAATAAACAAAGGATTCCTTACTGCTTATCACCAATGCTGGAAAAAACGTTCACATAAGTCAACAAATGTGCTTAATAGTGGATTTGTGAACTTAATCCACTACAGAGGCAGAACAGACAGGATGTGCAGAAAGGGGGGTGCAGTTTTACCCCAGATTATTCACAGCAAAGACATGGAGTTGTTTTCACTGTCAGTGTAGTGGAGACAAAAAAACCCTAAAGACCACGAAAAAATTTATAAGAAGTAAAACACCAATGTATTTCCACAGCTTAACACCTATTTATAGCTCTTTTTAATTTGGCATCCAGTAAACTGCATGGAACTGCCAATTCAGTCAACTGTCAAATAAGTTATAAGGAATTTAGTTCCTAAATACACTTCTCTTAGTCCCTATTGCTACTTCAAATAAGATATAAATGCAATTAAATTTTACTAGGACTTGCTAACTCCTGCTGTGTTTGTATTCATGTACCAAAGCCTCACAATCTGGGTTAAAAACATGCAGGAGCATTTCCCAAAATACTCAAAAAAATCTAATTCTAGTAGTGACATTATTAATCCCCAATTACCTTGATGTCACTTCCATTTAAAGACATTCTGTTTATGCGACTGCCATTTGGTCTGCTGGAATCAATCCAATAGATGAACTCTTCTCTATAGTCAAAGTCTACTGCAATCACATTGTTCAGCCCCTAGAAATAGGGAAAAAAAAGAGCCTATTTATTCAAATGTTTGAATATAAACTGCTGGATAACATTCAGAATAAAATATACGTTGCATTTAATACTCAGAAAGCTTTACTTTACTGACTGCATATTTGTGAAGCAATTACCTCATTTTTCTATCTATTACTTGTGAAAAATCAGCATAAAATAAAGATTGTAACAGAAATAAATGGTGACAAAGAACTGTCTCACTTCAAAAATGCAGATGATGTATGAGGCTAAGGGAAGCTTCTGTTTTTTTCTTTACTATTATTAAAATGAACTTTAGCACTAAACACTTTGACTTTTGCTCAATTTCTCTGTTCATTACTACCTTTGGCATTTCTTTGGCAAATTAGATGAGAGAAACAGAAATAGTATAACATCTATGATATTTAAGTAAAAAAAAATCCTTAGAAATATAAAGTAATCAGGAATTCAAAATAGTGGTGTTCACAAAATTTTGATTTTAATTCCTGAATAAAGAGGTTTTGACTATTTACATGCTATGTTATAGGTACTGTGTACATATACACAGAGACACAGAGGTAATATATACATGAAGTGTGAAAACCAGAGACCCAGTAGGCATCTGGGAGTCTCCTATGGCTCCAATTACAACACCAATACATTTTAGGAAAGATTTGTGATCATATCTGAGCTACTCCTTACTCCACTAGGTTGGAAAGAGCAATCATATAATAATGGTTTTTCATCCCAAATGGCAGATAAGAAGGAAGGGGGTTGCATTCAGACAAGGGCTCTTATTTCCTTATCTGCCCCATAACCTGCTTAACGTCCTGATATGTAGTGAAATTACAATTATTCTTAATATACCAAGATGTTGTTATCAATGAAATGTGGAGCAGCAGCAGTAAAAAGAACGGAAGCTGTTTGTACTCCTTTTAAAACCGCAATATCAGTTAATCAATTCCCTTATCAGCCCCGTGACATTCTACTCTCAGGTGGATCAGCAACCTCCCTCGTGGATGTAATTCATCCCTGTAAAGGGGATGTGCTGGACCAGCCAGCTCTAAAATAAACAACTAAGCACAACAATATTTAATTGCACAGAAACTTGATACACGGCTTATCTGCCATCTACCACTGTGTAATTACTGTAAATCTATCTCTTGATCAAAATGTAGAGAAAAAGAGCAATTAGGTTGCACAAATCATCATTAGAGTAAGCCTAAAACAATACAGGGTTGGAGGACCACTCATTTTCAAAAATCCCATACCTATGTATGCAGTGTTTTATCAAAACCAGCTGCAGCTCTGTCAGTCATAACTGTGCTGCAAAACACTTGTCCTGTCTCTTTTACTATTAGTATAATTGTATCTATAGAGAAATCCCAACCCCAAATTCTTAAACAAGGAGACAACAGGCGAATGAATACAAAATACTATTGAATACAAAATATTATTTAATACATTCTAGAAATTGAAGTCAGCAATTTTTGAAAAACTGGCCTTATATCTATATATTCTACGACACTGTAAAATTTTCCTAAGGATCCAGACTAATAAAAAGAATTGACTGCTGGCATGTCTTTGGTTTCAAGTGTTTTATTTTGGGTCAGTTAGTTTCAATATTTATCAGAACATCAATTGCAGGTAAAATATTTCTGTACATTTGTAATAGAGTTCTCTGTCCAGACATCATCTCCTCTTTCTGAGATGTCACTTAAGTCCTTCTAACATAATTGTTGTGTCACGTGCAATCTGCTTTTTAGAAGGAATAGAGATTTCAAATGGCATCAGCTGCCTTAGTCTCTCATCTTAAACCTGTGTTTTCATTTCTGTTACACACAGCACAGGCTGTGATTTGTGTTCCCTTGGTGCCCCAATTAAAAAAACAGGTAAAAATCCCAAATAATGAGGAAGATTATCTACTCTGCTTATGGAAACTCTAATGATTTTGATGACTAGGATGTGAAGGAAATGGAAAGCAAAGAACATACATGAGACACAATTCAAACAGTTGTACTGTTTATGTATATTTGAAAAAAAAAAAAGAAAATAGAGGGGAAAAGCTGGCACATAACTCAGAGAAGACTGAATGAGCTCCTGCTTTCAGCTTCTTTACTCTGAGTTTATATGAACAACTGTTAGAATGGCAAAGCACAGACCAAATACACAAAAAGAAGGGTGGGTTTGCTCCTCTGCCAGAGCCACTCTGGTATTTGCCATCATCTGGTAGATGTCCAGGAAAGAGCCAATTTATCCTAACATCATAAGGACACAAAGATGTCCTGCTGAGGGAGATAACCCCACGTGTGGTTCTGTTGGTATAGCTCCTCTTCGGCTTTCAAATCAAATGCTGTATTTGTAGGAGCAAAGGCCAGTAGGTTCAATAGCAGAGGTATTTATCAGACCAGTGAATTAATGTGATATGGAAAACATAGATTTTCTTCAGTGGCTGGAGCTATGTGGTCTCTAATGCACTGAAGAGGAGTCCATTAAATTGAAGACTGATGATGCCCTGAGACAATCTGTCAGCACCGACCATCAAGAAAATTTACTGTTTGTTCCCCTCTTTCCACAGGCTTCCATTAACAGATACACCAGCAAAAGAGGGGAGAGGCAGTGAGATGGAAATGAGAGGGAGTCAGAAGGATTTCAGAAGAACAGACAGACTTTAACATAACATTTTCTATGCTTAAATAAAGCCAATGTTTAATGCAAGATGGTAATTTTGTAATTACTGTTGTGAAGACCTAAGCACATCTCTTGTGACATTAGGGTGCACAGCTTACTGACACAAGAAGTCACAAAGAGTCTAATTATATTAACAGGTACTAAATAATTTCCTAGTCTTACTACAATTGACTGAATATTATTCAAGGAAATAGATATTTTTATTAAAAATATTTTGGAAATCTAATCTGTGGTAAGTAACTACACTTAGGTGAAGCACAGAAGAAGAGCAGAAACTGCTAAAAATGTCAGCTCTGCATTTACTGGGTGACATTCTATTTTTTGCCTTTTTTCACATTTTTTGCCTGTTATAATAATTTAGAGTAATTACTTAAAAAAATAGATTTAGCTAAAGATATAAGTTCATGTATTGCTATAACATAAATCTTGGGATTGTCTGTCTAAAAAATAGATTTAGATTGTGACAGTAAGCAGCCCAAATAATACATGGCCAAATGGTTTTTTGTTGTTTTGCTTGGGTTTTTTACTGGAATTTACAAATTGAGCAAAACATATTGGGATGGAAGAGGATCACAAATAACATAATTTTTTAGTACATCAGAATGACTGACGAAACAACTGCCTGAGCTTTAATCTTGTCAAATTCAGACAAAATAGTCAATTTAAAGTATTACAACAACTCTGAAGATGCTGCAGTTGTTCTGTGGTGCTCACAACGCCAATTGTAGGATGATGTTTCTGTCAGTTGCACACTTTAGAAAAGAATAAAAGTATTGAGTTAAACTTAGAGCATGGTACTATGATTATACCTGTTTCAACAAAGTGTAGTTGGATCCATCAGTGCTAATTTTTCTTATTTCATGATGATCAGCCAGAATTAAGAAAGGTTCCTCATCTAAACCCCGGGAGAAAGAATATATTAGACTAGCTTTACGTTAATTTATGGAAAATCAGGAATACAATGCTGAAATACAGATGGTTTGAAAAATAAATGTTACATGCTCTGATCAATGTTATGGATGAAAGAAATATTTAAAACATTCAAATGTTCCAAGAAAGATCAATGATGCAGTATAAAAATGAACAAAGCAATCAATTAGTATATCCTTCAATGTAATTTAATTCTTTTGCCTTTGCAATGTGGGAACCATACTGTATTTTATCCTAATTTAATGTCAGAGATTAAATTTGAGACATACTTCATTCCATATGTTTTAATTTCAACAGTTACTTTTAAATTATCGTTGGAACTATTAATTGTTATAGCTGCAAACTGAGCATGTTTTGACCATTGTTTTTTGAGATTTCAATACTCTGAACAGTCTGGTGATAAAGAAGCAGTTCTTTGTAAAAACCGTGATTCTCTAATTCTGAACTGAAGCTAGATTTGACTTTTTTAACCCTGGATTTCTAATTTATAAAAAAATTATCTTCAGATATTCATTCATGCCGTCACTTACTTTGACATATCTCTCACACTGACATACATAACAGTAAAAATAATATTTTTTTTTAAAGCTGTCTTTATTTTAGCTCTATTAAGAGAGACTTCAACTAAAATAAAAAAAATATTACCAATGAAAATTTAAAATGTATTAAAGGTCTTGCATCTACTTCTCATACATTCTAGAATATAATGTGTTGCCCAGCCTACTCCGCTCTTGTACTGAACATATTTGCATTTTATGCTCAACTTTTAAGACATAAATGACCTGATGCATCATCCTCAGCTCTGACTGCTGGTGGTATGTGGAGAATGGCTGCAATGCTCTGCTCTGGTGTAAAGGTTTTAAGGCAATTTATGCCAAAAAATCAGCATTAAGCCAAACGTGCCCACGTTGGCATCTCCTTGCAGCAGAGCCATCCTTGCACAGCACTCACAGCTTTGTCATGGCCACTTCTCAAGTTTGACGTATTAACCACTCCAAAAAACCACTTCTATGATGTGCCTTAGCTTCCCTTCTCAACTGAGTGATCTATAGCTTCTAAATGTACAGGTGGCTTGCAAGGTGGGAGACAGGAATAGAACAAAAAAAACCAGTTGTGGAATTTCTGCCCTCTCCTGTATTTTCTCTGCTTACTCAGGGAAGCACCTGAAACTGGATTATGAGGCAGACAGAGGTTCCAGCCTTCTTGTCATTTAGAAAGAAAACTGGAAGACTGCCTGGGCTGTGAAGGAAACCCACCAGAACCCAGCAATGGGTTTCTGTTCCGTTCCTGTTGATATTTTGCTTTTCCAGACAATCTCACTCACTGAGGTACACAAAAATAACATCAGAGGGGTGAGGAAATAACCAGTGCTCTTACATATCTTGAGTTTCACTGTGTAACACATATAAGACTGAAGGATTTCATATGCTATAACAATAATAGAGTTTGCATTTTATAGTAATTTTCTAAGTAATAACTTTTCCTGCTCCTTCTTTTCACATGAAGTTTGATGTACATTCTAATATTCTTAAGAAACCAGAAATCTTTTAAACACTTATCATAATCATACTGTTATCATGTGACTCAGAAGTAGAACTAAGTGATGCATTTTAACTTTCTTAGTACTTTTACTAATAAAGTTATTAATTCAAACTTTCATGATCCACTGCATCTACCACAAATGATCTGAGAACAATACATATTAAAAATATAACTTACTACATTCAGATATTGAATCACGTTCCTATTTTATATTGAAGAGGTAGGAGAGTCAAAGTAGCTTTGTTTATCTTGCCTAGAAAAGTTACAAAGACCTTGGGGCTAAGGTTTTTCACAAATTATTTTGGATACAGCTGTGGATTATAAAAAAAATTAAATAGTAATACCTGAAAGGGATTTGCAGCCATTGATGTTATCAGGCTGTATTTCATACCCTTCTGCACACAAACATTTGTAGGTTCCATATGTATTGATGCATTGCTGGCTACAGGGAAATCCAGATGAACATTCATCAATATCTACACATGTTTTGCCATCATCCTTCAGGAGGAATCCAGGCCAGCATTTGCACTGGGAAAGAAAACCAAACACATTCATGTTTAATTTCTCATTGATTCTGTTTGTCATCTTGTGTACTTTCTACTGAATATGTTAGCATCATAAACTTTTTATGGATCTTATTTTTTTTCAAGTAACATCTTAATTACATTGTTGTTTACATGGTTTACAGGGAATTTACATGTTCCCTCCTGTAATCTCTGTATCTCCAGCTCTCTAGTCTATGGCCTCCTGCCTAGCACATGGTTTCAGAGGTTTAAATATTTTTAGACTTAAGCCATGTTGGACAGATTTTATTTAGTTTTCAGTGGGCAAAGATCCCAGAAAACACTCTCACGTGCAGACAACTAACAGTTTTATTCTGTTTCTAAGGTGATTTTACTTTGTTTAAATATTTCTATAATTAATAATGACCTGTAAAAAAGTGGACAAAACCACTATTCCTGCTATTCACTGCTATGTATTTTCCTTTTTTACAACTGATTTTCAGTGCTCTGTATATATATCAGTATGATTTGTTGTATTTAAAGCATTGTATGATCTTTTCCACAGGTTTAAATTATATATTCCACCGTTTCTTAAATCATTGACAATTGTTTCCTTACAGGAAATAAAAATTTGAATGTTCTTATTATGATAGGTAAGCTACTTTATTACAAGGAATTACCACACAGTGGAGCTTTATTATAATCACACAGTAGTTAAACATTTAAGAACTGAAAACTTGCATTATATTACACCACATTTTGTAATTATTCACCTTGTATCCAACAGGAAGATCCTGACAATCCTGCGAACAGCCACTAACTTTTTTACTGAGGCATTCATTAGTGTGGCAGCTTTTCTCATCAGACCCATCACTACAATCCTCTTTGTTATCACAAACATCACTTTGAGGAATGCACTTGCCATTTTTGCACATAAAAAAAGAGCTGTTACATGACTGCTCTGGAAAACAAACAAAAAAAAAAGAGAGCAACAACTTGGTGTCATCTATTAGTATTTGGAATTAATTTTCTCATGGATCCGCTGCTATGTGTGCATGTGAGATGAAATAATTGTGTAAAATTTGAATATTTATTCCATATTGATAGTATTATAATATCTTTTCATTTTTCACTGTCTTTAAAGGTTATTCCTCTTCTGGAAAATGTGTGAAGACTTCAACTTACTACTCCTTCCTACATATTTATTTTCATATAATGGAGAATCCTCTACATTATCTTGGCATAAAATACAGTTCTACAGTTTACAAAAGTTGAAAGGCATGGCTTCTCTCCCCTGTGGATGCTGAGGTGTTTAGTAACATGACTGACTGAATTCTGATTCATCTCTTGTCTAATGATATGTATATAGGTTTTTCCCTCTTCGGCAAAACTTGAATTCATCATTTCAGCTACATTCAGACCCTTCAAATCACAATAAGAACACTTGCACATAAGGCAGGTATGTTGCCTCACCTCAAACCAAATTAGTGTTTTCCATCAAAATTGATGTAAGGGACCTGGCTAAAGTGCAATATAATTCTAAGGCACAGAAAGAAGAACTGGTCTTTGAAAAAGACACCAAACAGAATAACATGTGCAGACCAGGACTAATTTCCCTCTCAAAAACCAGTCAATCCTCAGCCAACTTATTAATGTGAGTAGAAAATATCTATAAAACCAATTGCATTTGGTCAATAATTTGCTGATAAAATTGAACCAGTGTTTATTATTTATAGTGAGAAAAACTTTACATCCCCTCTTATATGACCTGCTTCTGTGCAATAAATATCTTAAACACAGTAAACATTTTCAGAGCAAGAGAGAAAATTTGGCAATTATTACATTAGCATAATCTTATTTTAGTATTAGCAGGATTTATATGTTAAGGAACTATCTGTCATCTTATGCCATGGGAAATTGTGCCCTGAATTTTGTGGACTGAGGTTTTGGGTGCTCAGAACACGTTCTCCTTGCAAGATATAAGGAATATCACCATGAAAGCATTGGAGATTTAAGCTACTAGGTTTTACATCTGCTAAACCACTGACTCTCCAAAAAGAAAGGTCACACGTGTCATTCAAAAAATTAAATACAAACCTGAACTTCTGCATTTGATGTTGAGAGGTGCTTCATCAGAATGGTCTGGGCAGTCAAAATCCCCATCACATTGCCACTGGGAATTTAACAGGCATCTGCCATCAGCACAGGTGAACTCTCCAGGACGACAGTGACGGTATCCTGGAAATACACCAACCACTGACCTCATATTTTCTTTCATAGTGTCAACATAAAATTTTGCATATGTTGAGGCAATGTAAATAAAAGTATCTTTTGCTCCATAAAGACATATAAAATATTACATGCTTATTCAAAAGTGCCTACCAACAAAGAGAGAAATCGAATGTCTCTCGTGCACTGTGTAGCCATGATACAATACACACAGAAACATATGAATAGTAAGATTGAGTTATTGCTATTTTTTGTTAGTTATTAGGGTTTCATTAAAAAGACAGGTTTATACAATGGAGTCAAAAGACATTTTCAAGGATTAGAATGATTGTAACTTTAAAATAAATAAAAGAACTGACTGCTTCAATCACCAGTCCCATTTTTATATTGTTTCAGAATAATACTCTAGAATAGAAAAACAAGAAATATGCCTTTCAATGATACAAATGAGAAAAAACCCAACCAAACAATAACAAAAATTAGATTTTTAAATATATGCCATTAATTCAGCTTTTAGGAATACCTTTCAAACCAAATTTCATGCCGACTAAGTAGACTGGCTTCTGCAGAGTACCTGGGATGTTTAGCTATCAAGATGGAAAAGGTCTAGCTCTACAGCCTAACAGAGCTGTGATCAGGCTACCCAGTTTGCAGTCAAATGAGAAATCACAAGTTTAAAATCTCGATTAATTAGTTGGTTCATTTTTATATCTGATAACAGGTTGATAAGTGTGTTTTGGAATTTGCCTCCTACTCTATACAAGTAGTTCCCTTTCTCATAAAAGAATAGAACCCTTTCCTAAAATTAGAGTACAATGAGTTTACCACACTAGTCCCACACTAAAGTGTGTATTTGATTACCAGCTAACAGAAAATTGCATTGAAGCAGTGCAGCACGTAACAAACATCGCTGGAGATTTCAGTTTGCCCAGCAGAAATTAAATAGAGCCAGTGCCTGAAGGCAGGTCCATACTACAATTAGATCAGGAATTTGTACATCTTCTGCTTTTGTTGCTGTTTTCTCCTTCTGTCTCTTTCCAAAGAGACAAAATAACACTATTTATTTGTCAGTACGTTAAGTGGTATGTATACTTTTCGTGCATGTATGTGACGCTATAGTAAATAAATTAAATACACCAGCAAGTGATTATTAAAAAAACCCAAAATGTAGGTTGGATATTAGAAAGAGATTCTTCCCCCAGAGGGTGGTTGGGCACTGAACAGGCTCCCCAGGGCAGTGGGCACAGCACCAAGGCTGACAGAGTTCAAGGAGTGTTCGGACTGTACTCTCAGGCACTCTTGGGGTTGTCCTGTGCAGGGCCAGGAGTTGGACTCAATGATCCCTGTGGGTCCCTTTCAACACAGCATATTCTGGGATTCTGTGATTTTTATATGACCAAAAAATAAAACAGTATTTGCTACACTATATTTTGTTCCCAAAATGTTCCATTATATGTTCAACTCATGACAAATTTTACTAAATGCAAACATCAAGAATGCTTTTTCTTACAATTTTTGGTTGTCTACTCTCATCATTCATGCACATACACTCTACAGGTGGTGTGTACAACAGAAACATCTAAAACATGTACCCAGCTATTTTCTGCTGTGGCTCTCATTTCTGGAGTACATCTAAGAGCAAATAACCAACACAGATTTTATGGCACAAAATCACTCATGATAAAAAAATCAATAATGTATCTTTTTTGAGGGAACATTTGCTCTATATTTTCCATAAATATTATTTCTATATTTCTGAGTATGGTGTAGATATACTGCATATTCACATAGTATAAGAAACCCTAAATTCATGTCAATAGTGAAAATGAAACGTTCATCTATGGGTTTACTTGATATCATTTAACTGCAGTGATAATCATGACAGAGATGTTTTATTATTTAATAGAAAAAACATACATTGAGATGAATTTAAAAATATATATAAAAAGATATACATACTAAGCAAGAAATTGTAGAAAGTATATTTTTAAATTCTGTTAAATGTTATTAACAATCAACTGTAAGACACTATAGGAAATAATTTGTCACTGTAGCTCCAGATCCAAGTAAATATTAAGCTCTATTAATTGATGCATTACTTAAAATTTAAAATTAAAACAATTAAAAAAAGAAGAGCTTTCTTTTTCAATAGTGACTTAAAACAACAGACCCTGAAAAATGCCTTACAGTTAAAAGTCTGAAATTTTTGTATTTACTCTATTTTTGTTATACTTGCCACATTCCAGAGATTCATCTGATCCATCTCCACAGTCATCATCATGGTCACAAACAAACTGTTTGGGAATGCAGACTTTGTTATGGCACATGAAAGCATTCTCGTCACAAGTGTTATTAGGAGCTAAGGAAAATACAGTACACAAAAATAAATGAAATTGAGAACAATAAGATATGCAGCCAATTTTCTTACACAGAGATGAAATGAGAAGTAGTTAGTTTGAGTGGATTCAATGGAAATAACTGTAGCTGTTTAGTCATACAAAAGCACCACACAATTCAATAGCAGAAAAAGCTACTCATTACCACAGAGAGCTGGAGTAAGGATGGCTAAAATCTCCTGTAATCCAAAACAGAAAGGCTTCAGAAGTTGATGCTGTCTACAACTAGCCTAAGGTCTGCTTCTGAGGAAAAGAATATTTGGGAAGTAGAGATGTCCTTCCTACGTTACTCTGCTCCTGAACAAATGCTCTTTAAAGTCTGTAAACACTCAAAATATATAGAGCATATTTCTATACCATTTTTATCAGTTAATTAAAAAAAAAAAAAAAAAAGCTCAATGAAACTATTACTGAACTCCTGACACTTTTAATAGAAATGTATCTCAGAAGACTGGAAGTAATAGTTTGTAGGGCAGGAGTTGTCAAGACCTGAACAATTAGCCAGAATAAATTGAAGACAGTACTGCATCTCCCTTCTTGATGCACAACCTCCCTGACAGGAGCAGCAGCACTTTCTTCAGGAAGAGCAATAAAACTGCATAGTCAATAGTGTGCTAATTTTCATTAGGAAACATGCTGCATAATGTCTACAACGTGACACACATACTGATCTTCAGCTGGTGTGCCTCAGTATACATTAAGAGAGCCTGAAGATGTCAGGTTGATTAAAACATTAAAGGATTCTGGTATGTGTGCTCACATGTGGGCCATCAATCTTTAGCAGTAATCTTGGCAGTAAAAGGGTACAATACTACAGAAACAAACGGCATCTGGATATTATAAAGGCAAAAGGACCAAGGAAATAAATACACCTTTTAACATGCAAACATACCACAGCCTGCTGTGGACAGCTCATCACTTCCATTGGGACAGTCTCTCTCACCATCACAAAGCCAGTGCCGGGGAACACAGGCGTGGGAGCCCAAGCAGCTGAAGGTGTCTGCTGCACAGGTCACTGAGCCTGGAAAAACATGGTGTGGGAGTCTTAAACACAGATTCATGGAATATCCTGAGCTGGAATGTCCTAACCGAGGTTTTTATGGTAATGGGTAATGACTAAATACAGGGGTTTATTTTAAAGTAAAACTCAGAGATGATTTTGTTCTGCACATTATGATGAACATACTGACTAAGACTTACAGCAAAATTTTGACAACCTCCTATTTCTTCCATTCTTTCCATTTATTCAGTCTCTTAATAATCTGCAAGGAAATTTAATTTCCCAAACTTTATGAAAACCATCCAGCAGAGTAACTTTTCAAACCAGTTTTGGTCTGTGTGTTTGACTGCATGTTTGGACTGACTGAACAAAGGAACTAACCTTGTAAACCACATAATCCTTGAATCACCAGACTATTCCAGGAGGCTAAATGCATTCATATTTTTCATCAGTCAGTCCCACACAGAAGAGAACAATGTGGACCAAGCATAAAAGTAGTGGGAGTAAAAAATATCTGACAGTTTTAATTCAAATAACTCTACATATTTTTTGCTTGACTTTTTTTTTTTTTAAATGGGCTATTCTCCTGATAATACTATATCCTAGAATTAATTTTACTGTGTTTGGAAGTAAATTTTCGCACAATCACTTAATGTATTCTCTCAGATAAGCTAAATATGTCTCATAAAAAAAATCAACAGTGTATTTTCTACTAATTTTAATTAGAAATTAATAAATTATTAAAATATTAGAAAATAATTTTCCTGTCCTATTTATTCAAAAGTGACAACTTTTGGTTACTTATATGTATTGGTCATTTTTTGATACTTATGGAATTAAACTTCATGTTAAATAAATACTGATTTTTTTAAAAAAGCTGAAGTCGTGATCTCTCTTGCAGTTCAAGTCCATCTCCTGTTCCTAAGGAGAAATACAGCCTTAACTCTCCTCTCTTCATAACTGGTGCAGATCTTCCCTCTTTGAGAGATGGTCTACAATTCTACTGGTGGGCTTTCTTCTAACAAGAGATCTATAATGTGTTGCAAGTCAAGATATCAAAAGTAGTTAATTCTGAACAACCTTAAAAGAAAAAAAATAAGTCATCTTGTAGTGACACTTTGCAATTTGCTGGCCTTTGTTTTCATCACCATTTTTCTATTTCTACTAAGCTTCAGGTCCTCATGTCTCTTAGAGTTTCACACTGTTCTATATTATTCTCAGATGAGGTGCTTGTCTTCTCAGTAGGACCTAAATACCATGAAAACTGTATTGTAGATGGATGTCAGCTTGAAGTTAGTGTACTAATTAATTCACATTTTGCCATATAAAATCAGTATAAGTTCCACCTCCATTCTTTTCATCTGATGACATTTGTACATCTGTTTGATTAGGCCACCACAAATCTGAACATAAGCTGAAGTGATTTCTTCTCTGTCTACTTAAAACTTTCAGCACCGTGGTACCACACATGAAATATGGAATAAAATACTCTTTGTTGAATGAAATTCAAATAAGAGAATTTCTGAAAAGGAATAAATATTTAAAAGTTAAATCTTAAAATACAGCATAGCTAACAATGGAACCAATGTATAAATATCATTAAATTGTGACAGTATGACTTGACAAAATGTGATTTTCTTTTGAGAAGAATTCACTAACACTTTTCCAGTCCATTGAGCCCCAGAATGAAAACAAAATTTTCAAATCCTTATGGACCATGAAGGCTTTGGGAATTTGAGAGGAATATTATGCAATAATGCTTATGACTGCATATACAAAAATTTAAAGGGAATAGGAGAAAGAGCTGGAGGAAAAAATACACACATCTTTAGTCTTTAAGCACCTACCACTGAAATGTGAAACTCAAACAGGGGTTTTACCTCAAGGGTGGGAATTGGAGAAAAGTTTTTTTGTCCTTTTGCCCACACTGGTGTGCTATTCATATCTTTACTGACAGAGCACACACAAATCCATAATGGAGAGTCTCCATAAAAAGGACTCTCTCAGCTAATTGGAGGGGGCTGAGGGAGGAGATCCTCTCATACTCTATCCTTAAAGCAAACAGCCTTTGGAGATGCTTTTGTTCTTGTCCTCTTTGCATCATCTTCTTGAAACACATCATCTCTTTCATTATGCATGACCTGACACAACGCAGAACTAAAATTATCCTACTTACCACAAATAGCATCACTCTCATCTAAACCATCTCCACAGTCATCCTCACCATCACAAATCCACTGCTTAGAGATGCATTTGTTTGCAGAGCAAGCAAATTGATTCCATGAGCAGGACGAATCTAGGAATGACACAACATCACTGCATTCCCTGCATTTTCTAGCACAGTTTAGGAATTTTCATACTGCTCCTTTCTGTCCCCCCAGTTTCCCAGGTATTAAAAACACAGTACAATCCTAATCTTGCTATTTAGCATGTTACCAATTTCTCTCAGAGTCTGCATCACCAAAACATTTATAAAAATAAATAAACAGTGAAACATTCCAAACACGTTCTAATACTTTCAAACATTTTGCTAGTGGGATGATGGTAAACACTTTAAAAGCTAAGTCTAGTTTGTGTATTTAACATAAATACTAGGACTACAGTGAACTGCTTTACTTGGGTAGTAGGGCAGAGAGGGCACTGTCCAAATTTTTCAACACAGACTTCGTCCTGTTATTTCAGTATTTATCTCCATCTTTAAGAGATTTCATGTTATTTTCTCTCATGAGAAAACTGCTGTGTGTTTGAATTCTGTTGTCCCATTTACACTTTACTATACATTTAAAATAACAATATTTTTCTGCCTTTATAATCAGACTGCACAATTCCTATAAATCAATGCTGGTTTTGTGACATTTTCTGAAAAATTTGGATCTTGCACCTTTCCCAGACTTCTTTAAGAATTTTTTTTTTTTTTTAACTGATGACAAAAAATTTTAATGCTAACAACAAAAAGGATTTTAGGTAATGCAATCAAAATTTAAAATAAAAAAAATAAGTACTGCAATCTGAATTTACAAGTAGACTATTGTAACAAGTACCTCAAAATGGGTAAGAGTGATCAGTAGAGAAAGCAGAATTGACTTAATCCCCTTCCCTATCACCCACAAAAAATAAGCTAATACATTTTAAAATATTGTATAGAAATATGTATGTGTAATAAAACCTGGAAATGTAAACAGCGAGTTAGACTCGATAAATGTGATCAAAACAAAACTGTCTGATTGTCACAGTGCACAGAAGATCCTAATTTTGAAGTTATAAGATTTATATATTCAATGTAAACTGCAACCCAAATATGGAAGCATGTTAATGGGAACTGGGTCATGAGGAGAGTAAATTATAATGTTTCGGCATGCCAAGAAGTAAAGCAAAAAATAAAAAAAAAAAATAAAAAAAAATCAGGTTTTATTTAAATAGGGAATAGGAAAATTTCATACTGCTTTTTGCTGTTCTGCTACAACTCATTACAGAAATACTCTGTTCAGTTAATCCATACAAATTGAAGATAAAAGATCAGCTCTTACTATCAGTGAAACCAACCTTCATTGCTCCTCAATTAGGCAGAATTTAAGAATCTGAAAAATCTGAGACACAACAGACCCTTAACCCAGTTCACAGTTCATGCTTTATTTTATTCACACTACTTTTCTTGTTACTTTAAACAATTATACCTGTATGGCCCCTGATGCAAAGGAATGTCCACTTTTATGTTTGGCTATTTCCTGTTGGAGACTAGATACTGATTCAAATTGATTATATCTAAAGCTGTTCCAGAAGGAGAACTTGTCCAAAATAGAAAAGAAGGAAATTTTTTGAAGTAAAACTCTTTCAAAATTAGGAGTTTTGAAGAATTAGTGGAATTGTTAAATATTAAAATAATAGAAAAATCTGTATATAAACATATCCTTAAGAAAAAGAAATTAAAAGGCTTTCATTATGGCATGAGATGGAATTTAAGGTATTGGCAACATGAAGTATTAGAGTTGAATATAAAAATATATAAAGATATTCTTATATAGGTCTATAATCAATCTCTGAGATAAAATTGCACACTTGTTTGTTTTCAAAGTGCATTAGTGATTACAGAAATACAAGAAAGATAAAATGCTCACCACAGTGCAATTCATCTACTCCGTCCTCACAGTCTTTCTGCCCATCACAAAGCCAGGTGGTCAGAATACATCTTCCACTAGGACAACCAAAATAATTTTCTTCACATGTGGGTTTGTTTTGAACTGTGATAAAATAAAGAATGTAATGTAAAATGGTCTCTACTTGTATGATTAGGAGCCTAATACATTTCTGCTAAATTTCTGAATACTAATGGACAAAGTGTTTATGTCTAAAAATGAAAAAAATACTGTTTATATAATTTGTGTTCATACAAATTAAAAAAAAAATAGTGACAGCTAAGTAGTTTAGGGAGCTGAAATACTTCATTTTTTTTTCTAGAGAAGAATCAGAGCACAGCTTCAAACTAAATCAAAAGGCCTATAGAGGCAAGTAGCTCAGTTTACAGGTTTTGAGGTCAGACAGGTCAACACTGTTTCATGTTTTACACCAGCTGACAGAATTACCTTTCTGATCTAGCTACCATAATTTACAAGATACCCTAATGGGGGCAGTATTTTTATCACTGGATAAGCTACAAATCTGATTCATGTGCTGACTAACAGGAGCTACACCAGTGACGTTGGAGCCAGAGATTTAGACTTTGTCAGAAATTCAAAAGTTGTTTGTAGAGCGTGAAAATAATTTAAAATTTTATTTTTACGAATGCTTAGAAAACAGATGTGAGGAAAGAAAACATGCTTCATATTTATTTCCATTATTTAAGCACAAATATTAGCCTAACAACAGGTTATTTTCAAAATCTTAGGCAAGGTCCTGGGAAAACCCAGGAGGTAGAGTTCCAAGTACTCGAGATCACTGAAACTCTGCCATGGTTTATATTATTCCCTCAATGTACTGAGGCAATCAACACTGGGTTGGTTTTCAGCCTCCTTTCTTTTAAAAAGAAAGATAAAGTTATCATATTTATGGCTTCTACAGCTGTATGAGTAGCAAAAAAAGAACAAAGAAAGAAGTGGGACGTCTATGATGATTTGGTAGATCTTAAAGATTGTCTAAGTATAGCTACTCCTAAATGAGTATTTTTGCTGTAATTTTCTGTAAGAAAAATGACACTGAACAAAACTGCTAATGGGAGTTATAATATTCATAATAGAAACAACACTCAAAAATTTAATGTGCCAAAGTCGGTCAGTTCTGAATGAAATGGCAAAGGAAATCACATGTAGGTTGAATGCGAATGGTGTTGCTCCCAAGTAAAGGGAGGAATGATGCAGGCAATTAGTCACACATTAAAATGATGGAACATTTTGGCACGCATTTGAAAGACAGAAAAAAAGTGATACAAATAAATGGACGATGGAATAAAATGCACATTAGTGTACTTATGCAACATTAGTTTACTGGAGCTGCAGCACACTGCCCTCAAAATCCTCTTTGGTATGGAAAAAAAGTTTTCTTTTTGTGGAAATACAGTAAATATAAGCTATTCTGAGCTCAATGAAGTGCTATATATATTAATTCTACAGAACTAAGAGAATGCAGAGAATATGAAGATTAGAATGGAAACTCTAATTTTAATATGAATCTCTTTTATAGAAAGGAGGAATGTTTTTAATGTCAGGTTGACTGACAGTAGTGATGAAGTTCTAGAATACTGGTAATATTTTCATCACTAAATTTGGCACAACATATGCGAATTCTAACAGAAACTTCTGGTGACACAGTGTGATTATCACACAGAAAACCAGAGTATTAAATGGAAATAATCAGATTATGTTCATTACTAGGCAAAAACTGGAGAGTATTTACCAACATAAAATTAAAAGTTGTATTTCTACAAATTAATAAAAGTTATTATTTAGTAAATATTATTATTAAATACTAATTCTTAGAAGAAAGAGAGTTACAGGTCACAGGAGGACACTTATACTCTAGCATAAGTCAATTATGAAAACCAATAGAAATAAAAAATTACATTGTATTTGCACTGATACAAGGTAAAAGTAAAATTTCATTTGCTGTACAGGATACTGGTCTGGTCTAGTATATTCAAGAGAGATGTAGGTTGAGATGACCAAAATATTCTTATGTTGAAAGCAGGAATTTTAAAATATCCTGGCTTATTTGCCATGGCAAGTAAAGAGTAAGGATATTACTGAAGGACTACAAGATCAGGTGTAAAGTGGAATACAGGTAGATTAGAGATTAAAAGACTGAATGCCGTTCTGGAAGACAAAAGTAACAGGAATACTATAAGCCAAAAGTACTATCAATTTTTTTGTTTTTATATATATATATATATATATACATATATAAATAATATATATACATATATATCCATATACATATATACATATATAAACTTGAGGTGCAAGAGAGGAGATACAGGCTTGATGTTCCCAGAGCTTCTTTCTTAGTGCACTCTATTCAATTTGAGGAGAATTTCCTAGGATGGGGCCTAATCCTACAAACAGGATACAATAAACTTCCATTGATTAAAGTATTCTCATTCTAAATATAGTTTATCACTTCTTTATTTATAGATATGTTTAGACTTTGGACTTAATATTTTCAAACTCAAATGAGGGGTTCTGGATAAAAACAGAGCAAACACATAAATGCCATCCTTCACTAGGTAAGAATTTAATATTGTGAATAATTCATTGGATAACATTAAATAAACAGCAATAACCCCAGTCCTGTGTCTGGGACTCAAGTGTGCCATGATTCCTCATTACTGGCTGAGGACCAGAACAATCACAAAAGCCAATAACCATGGATTCTATCCTGGCAGCCTATCCCAGGGACCTCTACCAAATAAAAGGGAAAGTAAAAAATAGCCAGGAAGGAAAGAAATGCCACTCACTAAAGCAGTAGCTAATAAAAGTTCTTGAATAATTATGTTGATGCTTGATGAGCATGACATTTTAATGACTCATGTTTTACTTAAATAAAAAGTGATAAATGACAGACCTGACCTGGAGGAAATAGAAAGCTAGACATTGCAGTTTTCGTCAGAAAACTGCAGTATTAATTTGTAATAATTTGCATAATTTGATGAAACACAAAATAAAGGTGAATAAACTGCATTCAGTATTATATTATTCTACATATTAAATAAATCAGTATTGACTGAATAAACATTTTGCAACTCAATTAGAAACACTGCCTCCCCCCAAAAAAGATTAAAAAAATAAAATTAATGTTCTATTTATTTTTTTACAGTTACCTGGGCATTTTAGTTCATCTGTATAATCTCCACAGTCATTAGATCCATCACATATCCACTCTGGCAGAATACAAAGGGAAGTTGAATTGCAGCTAATAAATCCTGAAGATTTTATTCCAAGTTTATAGAAGTAAGCACAGTTTGTATTATCTGGAAAGAGACATCAAATTAGTGCATCACACCTAACACAGACTGAGAGCCTTATAGTTTAATTTTCGTGTTTATCTTGAGCTTGCACAGACCATGCAGGTGTTGGTCTCCCAACCAGTAATGACTATGAATTAACTGCCACATAACAAGGAATAATCATGGAGCAGATGCTCCAGCGAAGCACAAACACAAACTTACTGCAGTTCTTTTCATCTGAAGCATCTGCACAATCAATGATCTGGTTGCACTGCGCTGATTTTCCAATGCAAGTCCCATCTGCACAACGGAATTCTGTCGAAGCACATGTTGAATCTATAACACATGGTCATAAAAGATGTAAATTTGTGTACTAAACAGACTCTTAAGATGCACATCATATGTATTATGTTTAAACATTTTCTACCTTTTAGAATGAGGCAGTCAGAACACGCTGTACCTTCCATAGCTAAAAATTCAGCAATCATATGCTTTTGAGTTTACAGGACCTCGTAAGTTTCTAATTTTTCAATTTATGTTTTAGCCTAAAAGTATCTCTATATAATTCAACTCAATTTGAGATAATCACCGTGTAAGGAAGGAAGAAGCATTTTCAGGACCATCTATGAATCTCTCAGGTTTCTTTTTTGTAACACCAAGTTCATTTTTTCCCCTGTATGCTTTTTTCCCTACCCATATTTAACTAAATGATTAAAACCCATTCAGTTTTTTTCAAAAAAATGCTAGTTACTACAGCTATATAACTTTTTAGCTATATAGTGTGGGATAATATCCCCTCCAGTCTTCCTGAATTGTAACTAAGGATTTGTGTTCTGTTAGCTAGTCTTTATTCACTGGCTGGTACACAAACATAAATATTCATGTTTTAAGACACTAAACAAAAAAAAAAAACTTCTGATATAAAAGGGAGAACAATTCTAGTACGCTTTGCAAAGGACACAGACAGTGCCATGCATCTGACAAACAAAGAAACAGAACACTTGCTTCTTCAAAGAAAAAGCAGACTCAGAGAAGAAAACACCCATCTTTCAACCCTTCTGTCTGTAGTAAAGATACTCTCATTTATTACTTTACAGAAGAAGCAGCACCTGTATTCTATATTTTATATATCTATAATAAAAAATGTTATATGTAATATATATGCATATTTATATTTTATTTTATAGCCATAGTCCTAGAGGGCTGTAGGTGTAAACCAAAATCAGTCTTTATATCAATCCCAAAATATGATTAAATTACACGTATTTTCTAACTACTTCTATTTACATAATGAGTATTTATAAAGCAATATTCCAAAATCACCTTGGAAATAACTGCCATTTACCTTTACAGTCAAATTCATCAGAGTTGTCACCGCAGTCATTTACACCATCACACACTTTATTACTCGAAACGCAGCGACGATTAGAACATGGCTTGAAACCCTTCCGACAGCCTCTATTTTCTGGAAAGTTAAGCACATATTTTCATTTAGACACCTTATGTCTAATACAAACAGGTTTCCATGAAAACCAAACAAACATTCCAGAAAAAAAAAATAAACTGATAAAGCATTGGAAGCTACAGGAAAAACTTCAGAAATTGTTCGTTTATTGTCCAGCAGAAAAACTTGGGTTGATAAACAAATAAAGAATAATGAATGAAAGCATGATGAGAAAGAATGAATGACCCAAAAAAAATTAAAAAGGAAAGCCTAATTTCCCCCTTTTCACTATCTTGTGGTATAAAAAGATCATGTGCCTTAAATGCCTTTGTTTTGACACTTTTTTTTTGTGATAATGTTTGCATGTGGCATCAATAATTCCATCATGTAGAATGAGTTACACACCAAATTTGCCCTGAACCAAATCAGGAATAAATGGAGAGTAAAATAACAACAAATATTAGCAGAGAAGTTTCTGGATTTCTGAACCCAAATACTTCCAGCATTCTGTTCAAGAACCCTACTAAAGAAAGTACAAATTTTACACATACTGATATGTTTGAAAATTCAGGGCTGATTTACTAAAGCCTTAATCATCGTAGAAGTCATGTCACAATAATAAATAATGTTCACTTCATTAGTTAATCAACAATAATGATTCCAACATCCTGTACTTTATCAGATTCAGAAAGCAATGACATGACAGAACCCCAGTTCTTCCTGCTCTTTTCCCAAGGTGTAGCAAAATGAGTCAAAATATACACTGTCACACCACAAACTAACATAATGTCCTTCATAAAATTATGTGGTAAATCCATGGAAAGACAAATTGTTGGATGCTAGAATCATGGAATGTGCTGGGTTGGAAGGGACCTTAGAGGTCATCTTGTTTCGCTCCCCTGCCTTGGGCAGGGACACCTTCCACTACACCAGGTTCCTCCAAGCCCTGACCAACCTGGTGTTGGACATTTCTGGGGATGGGGCATCCATAAATTCTCTGGGCAAAAAAATATTGCATTTATAAATCTATTTCTAAATTTATAATCTTGAATTTATATATTGTAAGTATTGTAAAATAAAGTATAGAACAGTTTTTGCAGCTCAGAAAATCTTAAAAAGACTACTGACATATAAGACAGCTTCTCTGGAAAGACAAGAAAGAGTGTTTTGAAGATTCCTCACCAGCTACAACTTTCTTATTTGTTCCCAAATGACTCTTTCTCTAGTCCTTCAACCTACTCTCCTCTCCCAACAAAGAAAAAGAAACTATATGAAAACTTAATATTTTTTCCATGAACTGTGAACAAAATAAATGACTAAAAATAATACTAGAGACAAAGAGGATTAATCTATTTAAAAATAGACCTACCTGGGGTTTTTTGGAGGTGGTGTCAGGTTTTGTGGTTTGCCTTTGTTTGTCATTTGTTTTAAATTAATTCTTATCTCTAAGCATTATGCTTACATAAATACAAATAATGCTTACATAAATACAAATATATCAACACATACAATACTTTGAAGCTGTCACTTGTAATTCAAGGGCCTTTTCCCCTGGTAACTAACACTGTTTTGCATATTCCCTATTCTTATTTCCTCATCTGATGTTTTATCTTTTTTCAGATTCAAATAACTAAACCTTCTAAGTTATCTACATGTAGATGATCTGATGAAACATCACTGTTAGTTTTACATGACATGATCAAAGCAGTTACACAGAAGTCTGAATGCTAAAGAGACACAAATTGAAGATGAAAGAAGAAAAAAAAAATCAGTTAATTTGTTCAAGGGGGAAAAAAAAGGAAAAAAGGAAACTGTTCTGTTTATTATTAAAATGGTTGAGGTGAACTGCAGGAACTAAATGAGACATTTTCATAAAACTACGGAGGTGACTGGTGTAAACATAAACAGTGGGTTTGAAATGACATGAAATTGTTCATATGGGAAACAGAAGAGATTCCTAGTCTGTGATATGGACCCACAGAACAGAATAAAGGCCAAGAATTACAGGCACACAAGTTACAAGGAGGTTTAATTTCATGTGCAGGACACATGAATTCACTAATATGACTCAGTGCTAAAGGAAAATTATTTGAACAGTAGTGTTTTAGACACTGCAGTAGGCAAACTCAGTTGGCCACAAAAAAACCTGGAAATTATTCAGTTAGTGGTTATTAGGGGAAAAAAATACAGGTAAGGATAGAAGCCTTTGGGGAAATTATGGAAGTTGACATCCACGCATCTCAATTGTTGCAGGATGTAGATGGACTGTTGTGAAGAAAAACAACATTATAAACTTAAATAGAAAACAGTGTGGAAAGATATCTATTACACAGCCATTTCTGTATTTTATAACATTTCTATTTAGGCGTTTTCTATTCACAATCAGAAAAAAATCTTATTAACTATTAAAAACTAAATCAAAATCACTAAATTAAATCTGGAAGTACTCAATTTTTCATTTTTTTGAAAAAGCAGATAGCTGTGCTTTTCCTTACTTTTCTTTTACAGACAGAAATATCAGAACATCTCACGTGTTTTTTATTAAAGACAAGTCAGTTAATACATGAAGTTTGCAAGGAAAAATATTTTCAGATATTAAGTAATTCTATCCATATAATGTCAGGGCTTTCTTAATGTGTGAGTTGGCATTTTCTCAGCAAGCAGTTGGTATGAGTAAGTAGAAAAAAGTCACAGAAGAAAGAATCTAAGCACATATAACCAAAATAACAATGTGAAGGTGAAAGACCTAGAAATACTCACCACAGTAGAAAAGTTTCTCATCGGACTTGTCCTTACACTGAGCAATGCCATCACAAGTCAGCTGATAATCAATGCATTCACCATTTCCACATTCAAACTCTGAATAAATGTTGCAAGTAGAATTTTTAGCTGAAAATAAAACACATTAACACGTAATTTTTTAAAAGCTTTCACAATTAGTGAAGATGAGAAAAATGTTGGTTGCGTTTGAAGTATCTGCTACGCGGTTTTTGAAATCCTCAGTGCAAAAAAATAAATAAAGAAACAAATAAACAAACCCACTGTGGCATCAGAACCTAAAAGCTTCTACAGAAAGAATCCAAAAAGAAAAATACAGAGTCAAATATCCATGAAGGAACAGGCAGTGAAATAACTTCAAGGCACAGATTCTGATAAGAACGACTTTGGAACTACTGTGCTCAGAGACCCTCTACTCTCACACACCTCTCCACAACCCCCAGTTTGTGTGCAACCATTTCTTAACAGATGTTTTAAAAACATCCCTTCAACACAGCCCATCCAAAAGCAAGAATTAAACATTTACCATTGCCAAGCAGTTAATTTGAACTCTCAACTCTGTTTTGTGGCACTGTAATACACAGCTACCAGCATCAATGCACTACATCAAATGGTGAAGATACAGTCAATTAAGAAACCTCCTGTATCTACTTTAATTATTGCCTTTTATTCACAAAAAATCCCCAGTGATATACACCTAATTTTTTGCATTCTCAGCTTCTCATCTAGTGGATGTTTTATCTGTTATTTTAGAAGAGAACAAGATGCACATTTAAAATTTTTACTTCTGCTTTCTCTTGCATATAGATTTTCTATTGGCTCAGCTAAGAAACTAAAAGCTATCACAAAGTTGACACAGAACAATTCGTTCATGAACTTCATGATAGGTCATACATCTGCTTCATGTGCATGGTTCTAAACAAAATATCCAAGTTGAGAGAAACGAGAAATATCCAGAATAGCTCCAAAAGAATAATTATGTTTCCTTCTTGTAGCCACTATAATTACTTCAGCACAAACTCAGGAAGAACCAATGTCTGATATATTAAAAAGTCAAGCCAATATAAATTAAAATAATTTCTTGATTTGATTCAAACATGAAGAAAAATATAAAAGAAGTGCTGAAAATACAGATTTCGGACAAGGTGAGATCTGATCTTAAATATAATTTATACAGTCCTTTACATCTTAATCAAATTTATCACAGCAACTACTTTTCTCTCTTTTCCTCCCATGTTTTAGAATTGTAAGAACTTAGATCTAAGAAACTACAGTTCATCTAGTTCAGCACCTTAAACTGCAGTCTTTAGGAAAATATGAAAAAAAAAAAAGTATGTATGGCATCATCTGCCATCAGTTAAAGTCTAACTGGACACCCTTGCAGAGATTGCTTCAAACTCCATCTTGCAGAAACAAAGCATTTTAATGTCTTTCAAAGTGTTTCTTTGATGAGAAGTGAGTAGTCAGGGTAGTCATTACTCATATAAGCATCCAATCCCTCTTTGAATTTTACTGAAGCTTTGTCTCAAGAATCTTGACTGGCGGTAAGCTATATAGATTAATTACACTGTGGAAGGACAGGTAATTCCTTATCTCAGCTGGAATTGCTAACTTTCCATTTTATTGAGTATCCGTTTCAATTGTGTTACGAAGAAAGCAACTTTTGATCTCACAGTTAAACTACAGTCTGTCTTATTTCCATCCTTCCTGGGCTACTCAACCCCAACATTTAATGTCTAAGTCTTACTTTTTTTTTTTTTTTTTACTAATAGCTCAGACGAACATTTCCTGCAAACATTCCAAAAAACTAATTTAGAAGACAGAATCTTGTATCATGGTCTAGATGAAGGTTTAAACATGGCTTTACCAAAGAGCAATTTTTAGAGTTGCAATGCTTCTGGAAAATATAAATGCAGTATAATAATTTTATAACACATCATCTGATGTATGAATTTATCTGCTGAATCTCTTTCACTTCCACTGCTGACCACAGCCTTGACCTTAAATAGGTGAGAAAAAGGGACTCAATTAAGGTTCAGCTTCAATAATTCATCTGATATACTCCTAGAGAGATCCAAAGTATGCACACAGACATTTCTATCTCAGCAGTAATCATGATAGAAACGTAAAAATCCTAACTATGAATAAGAAAGCAGTATCTCACTACCATAATAAGGATTTCAGGGGAGTATTAATGCTTTTTAACTCTCAAAAAGCCTTATCAGACAAAATAGTTTAAAAAGCCAGATATGTGCTGAATTGCCAGACCAATTTTTACAGTTTACAAAAGAAATAAAATTAATGGCTTGAGCCAACTGTCTCACAATAGGCAACTGCATCACAGCATAGAAAAGCATCGTGTCAGCCAGTATTACTTACTCACACATCTGTTATCATCTATCAGAATTCTGTCCCCTCTACACGAGCAGTTCACTCGCCCGTCAGGCGTCAGAAGGCACAAATCATGACAACCTCCATTCATTTGTGCACAAGGAGATAACTCACCTGAAAAAAAAACAAATGATAAAAGAGGAATTCTGTTTTATTAAATTTGCTTCAACGGCCAATGTCTTTGAGAGAGCAAAGATCACCATATCTCAGATTCACGGGCAATTGATTCAGGTTTTATCAGTCAGATGAAAATGTCAGCGCGCCTCAGATGCTGGCACGCTAAAGATAAACAAACACAGCTACCTTGAAAATAATAATTCAAAAAAACCTACAACATTCAAACCTGCCAAAATCTGACAGGAAAATATTTAACTGCACCCACTGAGCATAACATCCACAGCAGAAAATGGTCATTCAATAATATTTGTTTGCTTGGAAAGAGGTTATACCCCATCCTAAGTTAACAGCTACTACAATAAGAATTTCTGAAACACCATGAAATGTTTTTTTAACTCTGTTAAAAATAAATAAAATATCTGAAATGAATGATTCTGGAATTCAGAAAACAGTGTATCTTGCTTTGTAACTTACAACTGTTGGTGTCATTGGCAACAGCAATAATGCCCATTGGCTGATGAGGGATATCAGAACGAAGAACTTTTGTGTCTCCTCCTGTGTATTTACTGGAACGCAGGATAGCTCTCCTCACCCCATCTGACCAGAAGATGTATTCATCATACACAGCCAGGCTGAGAAACGTGCCTGGTCCAGACTTCACAATTACCTAAAATACAGAAGTACAGAAGAGAAACACGAGAAGAATTGTTGTCACTGAATAAGAAGTTTTTAAAGTGCAGACTGGGACTCACATCACTTTATAGTTTTAGACAAAACACTTCATACTTCTATACTTACAGAACCTGGAAAAATGGGATAACAGCACTTAAAGTGCGTTAGAAGGATGCTGCAAGCAGAAAACCAGGCATCTGTTCCTTAATTAAAAAAAATCACAGTTTATCTAAAGGTGCCTGTAAAGATACCTACTCAACACACTACCTGCTTAATAGCTTGAACAGAAAAGAGAACAAGAGGTTCTTTCAACATGGCTGAAAGTCTAAAAATTCGGAGTTTTTATGAATCAAAGTGAGAAGCATGTTTCAGATCTGAAGAGCAGTCACTATATGATCCATCAGAAACTTGAACCCAAGACAATAAATGTTTTGTGTTTTCCAACTAAAAAAAATATAAAAATCTCACCATAGAATTAATCACCTTAAAACCTTGACAGAAAACATGAATTGTACTTCACTATATAGTAAGGTTTGAAAGAAAACTGTAGACATGCAATGAATTTGATCCCAGTCTAAATCACAGCTCCTATAAAATATTTTCATATATGTTCTTTCTTTTCATGTATCAGAATTAAAAATTTCACATGTACAGTTTCTGTTCTGAAGAATATGACACATTTTTAATCAGTTTTCTAAATGAAAATTTAATTTTGGCTGAAAAGAGTTATTTGGAAGGGGGGTTAATACTTCTCCATTAGCTAATGGAGATAAATAATACTCTTAATATTTGTATTGAATTGTATTCTTCCAGGTTTCTCTGGAAAAAAATAGTAACTCATGTATATTCATAAAGTAGCATCAGTTCTGACCCAGGCTAGCAAAAAAAAAAAAAAAAAAAAATCCCATGTCTATGTACGACTTAGCATAGTGAAATTGGGATAAAACCAGAAAAATAACATCTTTTAACAACACAATAGAAATCACTCTTTTTTAAGCATCAATTCTCAACCCATATCTCTACTTAGATCACCACGGTTTTCCATCTGCTTTGTGTCCTTTATCCTCTTTCCCAAAGGGCCTTTATAAAAACAATGAGATTTCATGGAAATCTCCATGAACCCAGTACATGTGATGAGTCTGAGCTGTTCCTGCTGACTGCACACCCACCCAGGGGCTGGTGCTCTGCTCACTGCTCAACCTACTTGAAAGTGGGTGCTATTTTAAAAATGCTGTAATGAGACAGAAGTAGCAGTGGTCAATCCCATACTCAATAATTAAATAAGTAATTGCAGGGGGAGGAAGTCTTTCTCTTCAGATTAAAAAAATACACGTAACAAACAGGATATCCAAATTTAATTCTGTGAAAGAAAAGCCTCCATTTTTGCTGCTACAGCTATGCCTTAGAGATTAAGAAGGTGCCCTAACTCTGCAGGATTCAATACCAAGGAATGCTCCAGGGGCATTTTGTTCACACCTATGCCAAGTTCACTGCCCAGAGCATTACAACGATTTGCCAACATAGATATTTCTAGTCCAGTGCACAGGAGCATTCCTGGTCATGCTTGAACTCACTTACACAGACAGAATATCAAAATTACTTATATTAATCAGAGAATTACAACAAATTCTACATTACTATGCACATCATATATTTCTGCATATTTTAAAGAACGTTTGACTAGAAAACCCTTTTTTCCAGGAAAGATTTTTCTTACTGATAAATATCCCAAGACGATAACTTTTCTCTAACCAACCTTTTTCCAAAATTAAAAGCATTAAAAGATAGATGGGAATGTATTAATGGCAAAAGATTTCTTCTCTAATTGTGCACATTTACTGTAAGACACTTTTCATAATACACTCTTAAAATCCTACACTATTCATATTCAGACATTCCATGAAAAAAAATAAAAATCACGTGTTTCTGAAAGATCTGTATGAAACCCGGCCAGGAAGAGTTTGCAACCCCATATTTTTTCTCCATGAAAATGTGAAACTTTCCCAGTTGGAAGGATTTTGTTGTCACAATCAGTGCTAAAGAAGGCACTACCCTGTTCAGCTTTCTGTGCTCAGTAGCACTGTTATAATTTTTCTCAGATTGTAATAACAACACAACGTAAATTCATTACAGACTGATCACTGCTGTTACACCTTGGGAGAGCTGAGATCCAAATAAAGTGTCACAAAAACAAACATCCAAAATATTTGTTCACTAGTGCTCATAGCATTTCCTCTCCTCCATTATGTCACATCCCTATCCAAGGACACTGGTTTTATTCCAGCATCCAAAATAAAGAGTTCATATTTCTACAAGGTCTTGGCCAAAACTTTACAGCCCTTTTAAAATCCTAAACATTCTAATTTATAGAATAACACTGAAAATTGTAACAATTTTTATTTTTTAAGTCTAAGTACAATTTTAAAAAATTAAGAAAACCTGAACAAGACCTCCCTTCCACCTGAATCAGACATGTCCAATAGTATATCACATGTTTTAATTCTAAATGATACCAACATTCAGTTACAGCAGATACTTCAAGTTCTGAGTAACAGATGTAGTTTTCTCTGGTTACTCTAAAGAGATGAGGAGACAGGAGGGGTGAGATGGATGAGGGGATTCAGAAGTTGGAGGACAATTTAATTTTAACTGTAATTCTTTATTTTTTAAGTTGTCCAGAGAGTTTTTGTTTTTACATATAGCTGCTCTAATTTGAGATACGTGTGGTAGTTTCTCTAGAAAAACTGAAAAAGGGGGGGAGCCAGCCAGGTAGACATGTCAGGTAGACAAGAATTTCTGCCAGAATATTGTAATTTGGATGATTTATATAAAACTCTTATTAGATTGTCAGTGAGAACTAGGCTCATAATGATTCTTCTCATGACTACACTCAACTTTTAGACAAATACTGTTGGATTTTTTAAAGAGAAGTGCATAAAGTTAATACGTCAGCTTAAAATATGAGTTGCTTTTAAGTATTTTAACTCTAGCGAATGGTTTATTGATAATACTTCTCTTCCAAAATGCTTAATAAATGGGCAGTACTATCTAATAAAGCTTCTAAATGTTTCTTAAGGGCTCTTCACTTTTCAAAAGACACCCAAATCTCTGTAGAGGTCTATAACAAAATAACAATTCCAGTACAGAAAATTGCACTTAAAAATGTTAAAATATTATGACAATTTGAAGTCAATTACATTATAAAATCATTTTACAAGAATAAAGCAATACCATTAATTTAAAAATAAATAATATTTTAGATGAATATCAGAAAGCTCAATTTGACAGAACTGACTTATACAGAACACTACATTAGTCAAAATTATCTAATGTATTTTGTGGTTTAAAATTAAAGCCATAAAACAGTACAGCATATTTATTATTAAGCTATGAATACTGTTCTTAAAAGATTATAGAAAAAGAATCTGTGAAAAAAAAATATGAGACTGTAATACAGGGAAATCAGTTGCACAGCCAGGGTATAACATATAATGATCTAATTCATAATTTTTATGTATTTGATTAAGACATAAAAAAAAGATATACATTTAGATCAGACTCCTTGTTTTGCTTGCTATTGATGTGATTGTTTCAGAAAAAAGCAAAATGCTATATCTTACTGGATAAACAAATCTATAAGCCTTGATCTGGAGTGTCCAAATTCTGTCCTTTCAACACTGTGACGTTATTGGACAAAAATGTTAACCAGAAGTGGAAGTGGATGTTAAAGACAAAAGAAAGAAATTTGGTGCTGAAGAGTCCTGTTACCACAAAAGAAATTAGAAGAATTTTTTAGTGTAGGTTTATGTTGGGTTTTGTGGAAGAACAGTGCCAATCACTGTCACAAACTACTAAAAATAATCATGCTTTGTGTTGATTGGTCTGAATGAAGACTCTATTTGCATCATTGCCATATCTTTAACACATGGATTTTGGTTTCAATTATTTTATCTTTCAAAAATGCCTTCTAAATAACTTGAATAATAGTCACACAGCAAAGGATGCAAAAGACATACTAGAATACCACATTTACCAAGAACAACAAGATCCTCTTTCTGTAGAATTACCCAAGAAAAATGAAACAAAATCAAAAGTGCTTCCTCTTCAGCAATTCATTTCTGTTCCTCCATGCTGGCAATGAACATCTAAGGCACTGAAGACCAAACTGCAGTGCTAAATTTGCAGTGTTCCAGCTGCTCCTTAATTTGCAGTTCAGCTGAATGACAGATTAAGCAACTGTAACAGGCCTGTACTTTTCTGTTCCTTTGGAATGGCAAGTACACAGCTCTGGAAATTACACAGTATTAACCATGTTCTTTGAAACTACACACATAATTGTCACAATACTTATTTTCAACCTCATAAATTACAAACTTCATCTAATATTACATTTAGTTCAATCTCCTAGAATTTTTTGGGAGCCTGAGGTATTATAAATAATCTTATTCTCCGTAGCTTTAGAGATTAGTTTTATCTTTTCACTAATTCCTTCTTTAAGTTAATTTCTACCAGGCTATCAACACTGGACATTCAAGGTATTTCAGCAAACAGTCCCAAACTAAAAGTGCTGGATCTGTGTCAACCAGCTCTCTACCTCTCAGGGATTAAAGGATTTTATTGCCTTTGGCTAGGGAGTAACTTTCATTAGGTTTGAGCTTAGCAATACTTTACAGAACTACTGAAAAGAAAGCAACTCATCAATGTCAATGGAGTGAACTCCCTAGAAAAACAACTCAGTAAACAGGGGTGGGTATTTCACTCACTGTATTGGTTTGGGGTTTCTTCAGATGAATGCTAAAGGGAAATGTGGACATTTAAAAAGCTGAGAAACAAATACTATTTTTATTCATATTTGCAAGAGAAAGGGATCAAGAACAGAACATTCCCACTAGAACAACTGTATTTATATTACTGGATAGAGAACATTAAAATAATCCACTTCACTTCTAGTACCATTAACTGCCAAGAATATCTATACTAGTCCAGAAAGAGTAATTGATTAAAAAGCCCAGAACATAACTCTTGCTCCCCTAACTATTATAATAGGTGGAAATAGGAAAGGCAAGCCACAGTGAACTTAAATGTCTAGGTTGTAAATTGTGTATGTGCTAACAACATCAATTTTTATTGGCATTTCTTGTTTCTCTGCTATTACTGTTTCTAATGCCATGTAAAAAAATCATAGGGAAGCAGAAGAAACTGAGTGATTTCCACATGGAAAGTAGGCTCAATTTTATTTTTTTTTCCAGGTAACCATCCAAGCTTATTAAAATATCTGCCTTCTAGTTGACATGATTTTCCTTCAGGTTAGTTTTCACATCCGATTATTTATTAGCACACAGAGAATACAGCAATGTGGTTCTTCAACCGGGAATCACATTCAGGACCTGAATCTTTTTGTAACTGCTCATGTTCAGACCTTGGTGAAAATCTTTTTTAAGACTTTTTAGCGTATTCTGATTTTAATGGAGTTGGACATTTTGCATTGAAAATTGCTAGCATTTTGAATGATTTCTCTTTGTTCTCGCTACCTTGGTTGATGTCACTTTTATCCTGCCTTAGTGAGTTATTTGGTGACTTCTCAAGGTAACGTTGATGTCATCACGAAGACTTTTCCAGAATTGACCAAAATTACTCGAATTTCCCCAATAATATTTCTACCACAAAGAAATATAATGCTTGAAAAGTAATTTTAGCTGTCAATTATAAACTCAAGTATTTCAGAAATGCACAGCCAAACTTACAGCTTCCATTTCTGCATTTAGTATTTTGAAGAGCAGATCTGATAAAATGCTTCTGAACACAACAGAAATTGAACACCAAGTATGGAAATTGTTTAATTGCTTTAATACAGAAATACAACCGAATAAAAACATATATTCCAGAAACAGAAAGTTACAGTTCCTGGCAGGTTGCAATTACATGAAGGTTATAATTACCAGAAACACCTCTAAACCCTTACTGATTCTAACAATCACACTTGTAGGCCTACAAAACTATAACTGAGATCAAAACATTCCAACTTGAATGTTAGAAAACAACCAGGCAGGTTGTTACAGGAATTTAACTATCTTTCTAGTTTTTCCACATGTAAAATGTTAGAGAAAAAGGAAAAAAAAAAATCAAAGTAGCTCACAATTTATTGGAAAAATAAGTCTAAAACATGAAATCAGCTTTATTTGCTGTTGGCTCAGTCTCTGTGTTCATGAACAAAATGATATAATTAAAGCACTAAGCAGCTAAAAACAGCTGTGGCCACAATATTAAATCCAACTGAGAGCAGAAGCAAAAATGGAAGAAAATGGGGGAGTGACTGTGAAAAAAAATAATTGCCACTTTTGCTTTTCAATCAGGAAGATCTGACAGAGCAGAATGAGAAATGTTTCAAAAATCCCACAACAACTTTTATTTATTTTAAGTAATAAAAAGGAAAAAAAAGTAACAAAGAAATTTCCAAAATTGAAAGAGTATTCCAGCAACCACTACTAGTTTTTTAATACTAGTATTAACATATCAGCTCAACACAAAATCAATAAACTCTTACAATCCACTTAAAAGAGTCAATTCAATACTGCTAAATGATTTTCTACTCATTCATTGTACTAGACTATTGTGGTGAGCGGAATGAAGAGAGAAGCTGCTGTCTGGCAGAAAATTCATTACATTACCATTAGCCTTTCATGTTCTACTATCCAATTTCTACCTTTGTTAACCTAACTGAAACTGGAGAGCAATGAAGCAGAGATAGTGAGGACAAGGGTAGTCTGATTAAACTATTTTTGACAGGTGGTTGATGGCAGGACCACGCTGAAACACCCTAAAGAAGCTCAGATCACCAGAACAGTGAAATGATCATTACTTGTATTCTCCTAATGTCACAGACACCAGAGATCATGTCAGGCTGGAGAGCATGTGAAAGAAGTAAAACAACTGCCCTGGAAATATTATTTCATGAAATCAATAATGCAATTACCAAGTTGGGTTCTGGCATTACTTGTATCAGTAAGAATTCATCTAAAGGGTGATCAGCAACTCTGCTGAAGTGCTGCTGGTGAGGCAAGCACTAAAACAGCCTGCTGGGTGTTTTTTTGGTATGACAACCCTCATTTAACTAATGCAGGAAAAGTGAGCACTCAGATCAGTGTTTCTGGCAATAGAATTGACTGATTCTCCCAAAACAAGTATCAGTGTAGGACAATTAACAGTAGCATATCCTTGCATAGGTAACACAATAGACCTCCCAAGAAGCCTCCAGAAGATCATGATGGACTCAGCTTTTTGCTGTCAGGAGCTTTCCTGTTTATTTAACTGGGAAGAAGAGTTAAAATGATAGAAAGCCAACCCAAAAGGCCATATAGTAGGAAAACTGAGCGTTTCAATGTCCAGTGGCTGAAAAAACAGTTTGTCTTGCTGATGCAAATTGAAAGCCAGAGGCCTCATTAAAAAGTGGATTTTAGTAATGGTTCTTGCAGCTAAGTTGCATCATGTCCCATCTCCTATTTTGTTATACCCTGTGCAAAGATGAAGTAAACTATTTAAATATCTACTAATTACCTTGTACTTAACTGATAAAAACCTTAAGTAAAACAGGATCAGTAAAGTAAAACTAAAAACGATTGCAAAATGAAAAAAAGAACCAGCAGTACAAGACAGAGGTATACATCAAAAAGCATAAATACAGCCAAAATAAATGGGAAAAATAATTCTAACTGAAAAAAAGCATAAGAAAATAGTTTAGGAATTCCTCTCAAACTGGAAGAGGAAGAAGAGAATATCCAATCTAGGAAGGGTTATTTTCAGAGAAAATTACTGAAGAAAACATAGAAGATGAAATTACTTTAAAAATTACTTACTATTTGTGATCTAAATGAGATATTTTTCTCTTTTCCCTCTTAAACGTGACAAAAATAGTAGTGATGTAGACAAATAACTTCATACATAGAGATGACAATGTATTTAAGCAAAGCAAATCCCCAGAAAAAAATGTATGTAACTACTGCTGTACATCCTTAAGTTCCAGGAACTTAAGAATAAGTTTCTGAATTAGAAATAAGCTTGCAGGCACACACAGAAAGAAGTATTAGCACAACTTCCTACTTGTCAAAGAGATAAAAGTGGCTTGTGTCTTCTAAATACATGTTTTTAATTGACCAATGAACCTTACTTCAAGACAGTTTGTCATTTACAATTATAATAATGTGGATTAATACATGTGATGGAGTAACATCCAAAAAATCCTCTAATTTACTGTCAGTTTTCAAAACTGATAACAAAATAGAAATAAAGGACAGGAAGTCGAGGGAAGGATAATGTAATATATTACAACTTCCAAATTGTGATCCAAGTCCTGCAAAGGAAATAGCTGACAAAGCTGACAAGTATCAGAAATAAATGGGTAGTTTCCTCTCCCTATATTCATCCCCATATGTACTCCTTATATCTGTATTTTAAGATGGTGACAAGTCCCTCAAGACACCATTTGAAAATTACTTTTATGTGGTAGACAGAAAACTGAGGGACTTTCCAAATACATAATTATTCAGAATGGTCAGGAATAAGAACAGAGAAGACTGGATATATTTGAGCAGAATTGTTGAACGGAAGCAGAATTTAAGAAAAACATCCTGTTTTTATCTCCCAAATGACAAAGCAGAACAAAATTCCGAAGAAAACCCCCAATCTGCCTTCTGTCTGTTAACCAAGAAAGTTAATCAATTTTCACAATAAATATATAATCAAAGACTTTAAAATTTAGAATCCTTCTAGCTTTGGTTTGTCCAGTTTCTGATATATTTACTGCTTCTGAAAACATTAGTGAGCTGTGGTTAATTTATACGAATGAGAGCAAAAGGAAATTATGCAAAACTAGATGCTGTTACAAGCTCAGCTCTCTTATTTTGTTCTGATAAGAAAATTTTGTCTAAACAAAGTGTGTGGAACTTCTGGATAAGATTCCAGAAAAACACGGAATTTTCATTTAGGATGCAAAAATATTTCTTAAGCTTTTATACTGCATATGAAGGACTTTTTTAAAGTTAACAGATATCAAAGTGAGTTGATGTACACCAACTTTTATGTCTAGGAGTGGAAGACAAGCCAGAACATGTCCTTCATTCATTTTATCCTGAACTTTGTGAGGTACAAAATCCCTGAAAGGAAGGTTTCATGAAACATGAGAAGTGTAAAACTAAACATGCAACAGAATCTCAAGCACAGACCAACTGCCTTCAGCATCTTCCTGGTAAAAGGTCTACTTGAGCTGAAACTAATAGGGCACTCAATGACCAAAAGTATTATGATGAAAGAGTAAAGGAAGATGTACAGTTAGAAAAGAAAAAAAAATTGTCCAGTAACACTCAAGTATTACAGTAAAGAAATTCTGAGCAAATAGAGCACTATTTGTAGCTCAGTAAAGTTTTAAGTTTTAAATCTAATATACAACTAATACTGGGAGAAACTTAGGCAACTAATGATGTTTCTGTAACATTTTCACTTCAAAGATGCTAAAAAATGCAAACAAACAGATTTACAATGAGTATATTCAGGATTTTTGTTTTACTTACATATCTTTGTGATCCATCATATTCACACCTCTCAATTTTTCCCAAGCTGCCATCTGAAAAGTAAAGTTTCTCTGCCCTGTGATCAATGGTCAGTCCATTTGGTGTCAGAATATCTGTACTAATGATAACCTGTGCATTTTTGCCTGAGAGGGTAGATCTCATGATGCTTGGGAGCTGCTCATTCCAGTTAGTCCAAAACATTAAGCTGTATTAAAATCAAAATAACAAATAAAACCATAAGATACATTTTATAATTTAGTTCTCTATGAAATGAGCAACAGAAAAAAACCCCACATATGCTTTCACAGACAATTTTGAATGTCTTCTAGGAGTAATTGTGATAATCAGTGGTGAACAAGAAAATCTAATATCCAATATCCTATAAATTATAGCAGTTTCCTAGTTCATTAATTTGTATACAAGTACAGAATTTTTTTTTCCTCTTACAGATCTGTTCAATTCTGATCATGTCTGTATATTAATAAACCATTACAGAGAGAGAGAAGCTATGGAATGATATAAACTTAATTCTGCTAGTGTGTATATTTGTAATTTCTAACAGTGAAATTAACCTGTAGCTTTTCCCATTTTAGAAATGTGATACAGACCAAAGGACTGGGATGCAGAAGGTTGATTGTGGGAAGAAAGTCACATTAATGTGCTCTACAGGAGGCTCATTCAGCCCCTTGTTGTGGTTATCAATGGTGGACAAATGTTATGGAATGAGCTGTGGATGTAATTCACAGACTGATCAGAACCTGCTCATTCTCTTATTACAATCTCCATCAGTATTTAGGTGGTTTATTTCTGATATCTGGGTAAACATATTTTACAATACAGCATAAACTTTCAATTTGCATAAACAGGACATGAAGACACACGTGGAAATAACCTTGACTACTCATGCAACACTGTACATTCAGCTACCAATTTAAAAATGGGATTTAATAATGAATTAATGGAGCTCAGCCTTGCAAAAGGAGAGACAGTTACAAGAAGTAGAAAAGGCAGGTTGCCTTTTTTCCAGAATTAACAGAGAAGATTAAAGTACCTCAAATTTTTAAGAATTTATTAACAGGAGTAGAAATATAAACTTTCCTACTATTTTACTAAGAAATACAGCCTTCTTTAGAGTGGACAAAAGGGAACTAAGACTTCTTTGCAGGATGTTGTCCTTAAGTACTGTAAATGTTCATCTCTTGTTATATACTTCTATACTACACTGGTTTCTGAGATAAACATGTGGGCCCATAATTTGCACAGAAGAAACTCAGACTCCTTTCTGTAAATACTTAAATTATTTTTTTTTTTAATTTAAGCAATAAGAGTAATGCGTCTGATGAAATCACTCAAACAACCACTCATTAATTTGCATTTAGCTCACTTTTAAGAAAAGCAGCTTGAACTTTTCAACATTCCATGAAAACGTAATTATTATTTGAAACATGAAAACATACAAAACGTTGCACCTTAATTCTGCAACTGCTTTATAAATTATATTAACAATTTTCTCCTAAACGAAGAAATCTACCTAACCTTCGTAGGTATCAGTATTTCACAGCATTAGCTGACTGTGAAATAAAGAAGTGCCAGAAATTAAAATCTGGTAAGGAAGATGTAATACATACTTTTGGCATTCATCCAGAGCCAGCACGTGTGGATGATCATCCTCTGACATGGTTATTACAGCTTCCCGATTGAAAGCCCCTCGACGCCTCTGGTCAACGGTGTGTCTCGTGATGGAGGATGTGGTGGAACTGGTCCAATACAGGGTGTCCCAAGCTCTGTGATAAGCAAGTCCCTCCACTGACCCAACATCTGGAAGAAGACGGTTACAGACAGAGCAAATCAAACACCTGCCAAGAAGATGTTTGTTTTTATTTTTCTTCTCAGAGCTGATCCTGCAGACTCACAGAGTTCAGCTATTTCAGCCCAAGTCTGTCAGTTCTTTTATCATTTCTGCTGTTATTTTTTTTATTGGAATCAAAATCTTAATTTTTTTTTTCATAAATTTAAATAAAAAAAGAAATCTAGAGAGCAAGACCACCTGTTAACAACCCCATAATATACTGGCCCATTCTAACAATCATTAAACTAAATTTTAGTACAGTGTCCCCAGATGATATATTAGAAATAACATGCATTTATTCAAGACAGCAATAATTAAGTCACATCTTCAAATATCATTTCAACCAAGTCTTGGGATGTTTTCACTAGTTACTTTTATTATTTAGCATGATCTTTCAATGTATTTTCTGACACTGATACACATTACATTAATAGGGATCAAAGTGTCCTGTTGTTATTAACTGTGTGAGCTTTTTTTAAACACCTGAAAAGTACTAAAGAAATATCAACTCTGAAGGTCTCAACATCAATATATTATTTTAATAAGCCACAATACCACACTCTTTCATTCCACATAAAAAACTGTGAGCTAGAAAGAAAAGAAAATATTAATAAGAAACTAGACCATAATGTCCAGAAAAGATAAACTCTATCTAGTCCCAATATACAAAAATGACAGACTGTGAGGAATAGGAGTAATTATTTCCTACCATTATCTTATAATTACTACAGAAATGTATGTTGATAACTTCACTTATTATCTTGTTAGAAACAAATATTTTTAGACCAGAAGGTTCACGCAGCTTATTAATGAGCTACAGAAGGCAAAAATCTAGAAATATAATTAGGATTACATTATGCTGGTTAATACAATTTCCATTCAGCTTGCTGAAAGATGTAATATTTACTGTGCAATTCAGACAGACAGAACAGAAAGTCCAAAAATAAGTTTTATCACACTGAAACAGCAAACACTAAATCAAAACTTTGAGGCAAATAACTCAAAACCATGAGGCAAATAATTATGTATCAGGTTTCTGTATTTCTCTTTCTAAAGCACTTGGAGATGATCTGACTACATTTTGTGACATATCTGGGGAGAAGTCTCAGTGACTTGTCTTAAAAGAAGACATTCCTTAGAGGGAGGTGAATATGTGTAAAATACTTATGAAACAGAATTCAGGAAAAACAAAAGATATCTTCAGGTCACTTACAAGTAATTCAAAATTAGACAGAGTTTACCTGGCATTGAAAGCAACTTGAAAATTACAAAAACCTCTTTAGAAGAGGTTTACAAGAATGACCCTTTCGATATTAATTCTGGTTTTCAAAAAGATGAGTGGGTTAGACGCATGCTTTATCTGCCTTATAAATTTATTTTTAATTTTAAGCATTAAAAACATATTGAAATAAAGTAAAGGTTTCAGAAATCAAGAACTGAAAAAATATTCTGTTCTTTCAAATATCATGACAGAGATGGGCAAACACCTACTGAAGTATTCTAAAGCCAACTGGAACACATCTGAATGCAGGGTTGTTATTATTAACTGTGGTTTAGGCAGGTTCTGGAGGGGTTTTGTCCCTACTATGAACTGAAACCCAATTGCTTGATTCTTTGGTCTTCCACCTCTTAACACCCACACCACGGGCATTTATTTTTCCCAGGGCAACCTTCCTGAATGAAACAACTAATTCCTTCTGAGATGTAACCCATGCACTCTTCCAGCAAAAATTTGTTACTTTTTCTGAAAAACAAAACAGAACAAAAAAAACAAAAGCCAAACCCCAAAAACAAGTCTCTTTGGGGAGTGTAAACAAGACCACATCAGGTTTTGTTCCTTTTGCCTACAGAGACCTCCCAATCCCTGAAATCTCCACACCTCAAACACAGCTTAACTTGCCCAAACCAAGTTTTGTAACATACAAAAAATACCTTTGACATCATAGCATCAAAATATCAGCCTTAGGACCAACAACCAACACAGACACAAGAGTCAGAAGAAATCCTGAAAGTAATGACAATTTCTCAGAGCCAGAGGAACACAACACAGGATTCAAAGGACACTTGGACTGCCCAAATTATCCCAGAGACACAAGGCCAAGCACTGCACATATGAACCACTCTGCTCCCTGATCTTGGAACAGGGATCACTCCCAGGGGCAGAGGTCTGTATCACCTAGATATGGGTTCTGATAAACTTCCTAGTCACTTCCTGCAAATCTTCCACTAACTCTGAAATTAAAAGAAGCTTAGTAAGTCTGATAACTGGTAAAATAAAGGGCCAGGAATACAATTTTAACTTAATCTACTAATTTACATTAAAATTATATGCTGAACCCCAATTTGCAACTACATAAAATTCTCTAAACTAAACCCAGTGCTCTTAGATATCAAGTCACTATCTATTAGGTTTCCCTGTGTGGAATCACAAGTTGGTTTCAGTGGTCCTCATGGGTCCCTTCCAACTTGAATTTTCTGCAATTCTATTAAAAAAATAACAAAGGTATTGACATTTTCTGACCAGTTCTTTATTTGCAATGAACAAAACATGAGAGCATTTAATGCTCTTCATTTGTAAGATGTCTATCAGAAAAAAAAAAAAAAAAGAAAATTCCCTCATGTAACCTCTTGAATTTCTAACAACTTCAGCTTTGTTTCTTGTCTGAATCTGTCAAGAAATTTGAGAGCAAACTGGTTACATAACATTGCTACAGCAGAGTTTTAGGCTGACAAAAGATAATGATGTTGTTCCTGCCACAGCTAGATGTGATGAATTAAAACACAACTAGAATGATGAAAGTGCTCTTCAATACCAGATGTGTTGGTTTACTTTAATTTCTATACTAAAGAGAAGAACTCAATTTTTCCACAGGTACTAGAAAGTACAGCTTCACATTCTGACACTGGACCAACACATCATCCTGCAATTCCATGTTAAGGTCTGTAAATCGTGACAGAAGAATGTTTAATTCCATGTTACTATTTACAAAATGGTAATTAAATTTTTAGAAAACAGATACATGGAAAGTTATGGCATATTTAGAGACAAGTAAACATTTAGCATACAGATGAAAAATGTTTTAAGAAAATAATTTAAGTATGCAGTTTTACAAAAAAACTTTGCCATACATTCGTATGTTCTCAGTGGAGTAGAACTAAAAAAAAAACAATCAATAAAACACTTTCTTTCAAAGAGAACAACTTTAAAAGAAAATAAAGAAGCTAATATTCAAAGACTCAAGAAATCTACATCTTTAAGGGAATGCCAATGATTAATACTTTGACTGAAAAGAAAAAAAACAACTCAACACTTTAAAATAGCCTGACAACAGAATCAGGCTGTGAAAATTGTCTCTAATCAAATATCCAGTATCTAATTAAGGATTAAAAAAGCCTTTAATCAGAGTGTGGTGAAGAACTGGCCCAGAGAAGCTGTGGCTGCCCCATCCCTGGAAGTGTCCAAGGCCAGGTTGGACAGGGCTTGGAGCAACCTGGGATAGTGGAAGGTGTCCCTGCCTATGGCAGGGGGTTGGAACTGGATGATCTTTGAAGTTCCCTTCCAACCCAAACCAGTCTGTGTTTCTATGTAATAAAAATTCAGAAACTTCTTGATGTATATATGCTTTTTAAAGAAGAGAAGGTGCTTTACTAGATGATCACATCTTCAAGCAAATTAAGTCTGAAACTATCAAAAGGTTCAGGAGACAAACCCGTGGATGATAAGGGTTTCATAAATACCTCTAACAGAAAAATTCAGACTAAAAAAAAAAAGCTTTCCTCATAAAAAATAATCAGGGGAATTAAATTGCTTTGATGTAAGACAAGAAAAACATATTAAAATTAAATTGAAAACTATGCTACAAACACATACTAAGTGCATTTGCTTAGCTCCACCAAAAGATTAATTCTGAAGGATTTACACCAAGCACGCCTTTATTTGCCAGTAAACTTTTAGTATTATCATGTTCTGTGTACTTATGGAAGTGAGAACTCCACCAATACAGAAGAGACGCATTTAATACTTTCAGAAATCTATAAATAAGGTAGCTTTCAAGTCAATGACATAAGACTTGCAGAGTAGGTGCTAAAACAACACAAGATTTAAATAAATTCTTAAAATGGATAATACAACTTTGTTCCCACTAACATATAGTGTGAGCTGGATGAAGTGCCATCAGTACACTGGTCAGGCAAACCTTCAGTATAGTAAGTTATCATTGATAATACAATTTTTTTGTTAGTTTATATGTTTCTAGGTTAAAATAATTTTTTTTAGAGGTTATTGATGAATCTCCAAATTCCTGTAAATCTTTTTAACAATGATAAACTAAGGACCAACTGAGGACAGAAGGGATCCTACAAACGGTCCTCTAGAAACTCGAACGTTGTTCCTCCAAAATTAAAACCTTTTAGCAACTTCATATTGTTAAAGACAGAACAGTAGAGAAGATGCCAAAGCACATGCATTTCAATATTATATCTATGCAAACCAGCAATGATATTATTTTATCTTTACTTATATAAGTACTTCCTTAAAGCATATTTTAGAGCACTTTTTAAAATATATTTTTATATAAATTATATATATAAAATATATATATTTTAATATATTTATATTAGAAGTATGGCCTCATCCTCTCTGGTGCTACAATTGAAAGACTTAGTCCCAAAACCTATAAAAGGATGAAAATTAGCAATTTGTTTACTCTCAGCTTCATATTTTTGCAGCATCATATAATATTCTGAATTGGTAAAGCATAAAGGAACTGGAAATGAAAAGAAACACATTTGTTTTACTGACATATTGAATTAAAACACTGATGGCATTAGATGCCTACAGCACTGATTAGATTTATTCTAGCCATGAAGCAACAGTTTATGATTTTCACATGAATTGCATACTTAAATGAAAGGAACATTAATACAATATGATATTAATATACAAATACTCACATTATTCACCTGCCAC